AAGAAAGGAACTAGATTTTGCTCCAAACAAAACTCTTGTAATTCTAATAGTTTTGAAATTTTCATTTCTATCATAAGGATCATCTTTACAAAAGAACCATGTAACATTCCTATCTTTTCATTTAAATCTTTCTCCAAAAATACCTGTGTAATGTCAGCCATAAAGACTATCAAATTTTGCCTAAATTTTATCAGCAAATTAAAAATGTCAGGACATAAGTTCGGACCAGTATACAAACAAATGTTTAAAGAATGTCTTTGGTTATGAGGTTCATAAATTATTCTCAATCTATTTGTTACTCAATCATTTCTGATCTGATCCAATATGTTTTAACTTGTAATCTTTTAAAATCTTTTTATGCTGAACAAAAAGTTATCAACTTTAAATTCACTGTTTACTTACTTAAATCTTTCAAGTGCAATATACCTATTGTCTTCCATTAAATGCTTTGAATTTAGTTTCCACAGCAATCTTACCTTTGATATCTACCATTCTTACTTGACATCAGATTCGAAAGATTTCATAATTTTCTGAACCAATAGTTGTGTTGTTTTGAGTATCCCTTTCTAAACCAAAATTTTTTAACTTTTAAAACTTTCCGAACTGATCAGATATCAAGTTTTCATTTTGATAGCTAATAATTCACTAAAGTCATAATTACTTTACCCTGCAAACACTATCCAAATAATGACTCTGGGGCTACTACATTTTTAAAATTACTTTCACTTTATCTGAAATTATCAAATCTATTCCTATGAGAATATTGGTTCTAAATTTTTCAAAACTATTTTCTTTAGCAAAATTTAAATCTGGAGTGAGATAATAATTGGAGATACTTTACGTTTCTAGAAGTTCAATATCTGTACCACAGGTGGGGAACCTTTTTATCATTAGAGGTCACATATAAATTAGGCAGTAATAAAGGAGGCTACATAAACTGATATACATATAAATCCAACTTCTGTGAAATTATTATAGTTTTTGCATATTTTTATCAATTTATAGTATTATATAGAAATAAAATTAAGTAATTTATTTAGCATAAAAAGCTACAATATAAAATATTTTAAGTATTTTTAAATAAATTTATTACATATAAAGAAATATAATAGAAAAGTAATAATATTAAGTGTCAGCAGCAATATGTAAAATAATTTTTAAATCCAGTGGAGATTTTACTGTAGTGGGATATTTTCATTTGTTTCTTGCTTCAAAGTAATTGAATATTTGGAACAAGTTTGTAGTGTGCAGCCTTAATTAATCCTCTTAATGAGCAGCTGTAATTGGCATTTTTAACTAATTTCCTTTTTTGTCAAGAGAGAAAATGTTGACCCACAGCAATAAACTAAAGTGGAAAAGTATATTCAACAGCATATTCAATATTTTCTAGATTTCTACGAAATCCTTTTTAGTGTCGAAAAGGGATTTGAGGATACCATTTTCCTACAACTCAAATAACTCCATTTGTAACTCCATAAGAGCCTTGGATATATCAAATAACATTTTCACAGCAGAAGTGTGCTCATCAAAATCTGAAAATCTTTCATTATATTCTTAAATTAAAAAATTCCCCACACACCTACATATTTGTCAAATATTTTAGTTTCTCATTTCTGCTCATTCAACATTTTTGCTAGCTTCGGAAAGTGTTCTGCAGATACATCGGAGTGAGACAGCAATGCTTTGAAAAATATTAATTTTTTTCGAAATGCATGAATCTTTTGCCACATTTTATAAATATGCTTCATTTTGCCTTGCAGACAAACATTCAAATTGTTTTGTTCTGTCATGATATCAAATAAAAATGCAATGTTTCGAAAAAATGCTTCATCTGATATATCACACAGCTTTCTTTGTTCTTGGTAAAAGTTTAAAATTTGTCATTTTAAAGTTAAAACTTTTTCAAAACCTATTATGTTGATAGCCAGCGAACCTTGCAGTAGTAGTGTAGATCAACTCTGTAAGTTTCCTTACCTAGTTAAATTTAGCATTGGTCCATATTCACAATGATGCTTTGCATTTATTGCAAATATAATTGACACTCACAATAATTCCATACAGAGTGTCTTGCAAAGTAGTGGATTTTGCACAAAAATTTTGCTCATGCAAATATAGAGAAATAATATCAGTTTTTCAGTTTAAGTTTTTCTCTTTTACTAAAGCACATAATCCTTCATTTTACCTCTCATGGAAGAAGTACCATTGGTGCAGACACTTACTAAATTACTGATGTTTAAATTGTAATCAATGACATACTTCTCTGAATTTTCGAAAACATTAACTTCACGAGTTTTTCCAATTAGTACACCCAGTACAAGAAGTTCTTCACTGAAAAGCTTCAGTTACAGCATAAATAAAATACAAAACTTGTGCCATGTCAATTTTATCAATGTTTTCATCTATAGCAACTGAAAAATTTTGAAGAACTAAAAGAAGTTTCTCTGTTACATTTTGAGCAAAATTATGCTGTCAATCGGTTATACTTCATGAAAGAGGCAACTGTTTATATTTATCAACTTTTTCTCGATCTAACATATCCACTGCTCCAACAACATGCTCTTTAATCATTTCTACACCACTAAATGATTAGCCTCTTTTTCCAAGTATATATGCTGTTTTGTAAGTAACATCAACTGCAGTGGTATTATTTGGTACTTCTTTGTCATAGCAGCCCCCAACCATATTTGACAATTTTAGATTTGTGCTAAGATCTCAGCTATAATTTGCCAAGCTTGTGAAGCGCAGTGTATAAAATAAGCAATACAATATATAATAATAACAATAATACTCATGTCATTTTCTAAGAATATTTATAAGAATCCTTATCCTTATTATTATTATTTTATTGTATGTAATTGTTCCAGTTAACTGCAGAACTTTGATACAAATTGAGCTGTTTGTCACATCATTACATGGATGTCAACTCCTCTGCCCAAGAATACATAAATCTAATAGCAGGAATGAATGATATTCTAGAACTGCTGAACCAATTTTCAACACAGAGGCCCTTCTTCTGTTCGCAATTTTTAACATTGCACCTCCAAACAGTTTTGTTGTTAACATAAAAGTTTCATATTGCGGCCATTTTTGCATACTTGTTTGTCAGGTAAAAGACCTCTTTCTTGAAAAAATGATATGGCAGCCATCTCATTACTTGGTAAATTAAAGATTGTTAATGTCATATTCACACAAAAAAAAGCAATGAATAAATTTTAAAATAAACAATGCAAATTTAAAAACCTCATAAAAATGAATAATATAAGAACATGTGGTGAGAGCAGAACTGCAATATGATGCTAATATACGATTATGTGGCAAAGTATACGAACACACAGCCAGTGCTAATATGATGAGATATAAGAACATGCAGAGAGATTTTGGTGAAATATCTCAATTGACTGGCGATTCAATCTTGGGGACACTATAAAAGAACGAACTTCACGAAACCACTAACAGACACCTGTTGATGATGCTTTTCATTTTTCAGTTTTTGAACTGCAGCATGTCGAGATTCACCTCTTGTATTGAAATATTTATATTATTTATGAGTCAAATAGCGTTTCTTTGCATTCACTTTTCCAAAAGTAGTTGTAAGGGTTATGTTAATTTTATTAACAGTTAAATTTTAAGTACCTTTCCTGTCAAATTCTTAACTTCAACTTACTACTTCCAGCCAGAACGTAGTTTTAGAATCACTCTGTATGCATAATGAGGAAGAGCGGTATTTAACCGCGAAGTTCTACTTGCTGAGTTAGAGAGAATCAGAGTTTATGATTTGCGTGTGTCTGCCTTTTTGGTTACTCTCTTGCAAAGCTGTTATTACACTCGGCCATACTCAGGCCCTTGATAATTTAAATAGAGTTAAGGGGCCAACTCGGTTAGAATCTTGATAGCTTCGGCTATATTTCTTTTTAGTTTAAAATTAGTTTTAGTTTATTTCTTAGTCAAGTTCAAGCCCAAATGTTAGCTTTTATTGCACACTCCAAGACGGAGTTCTATTAAATTTTATTTGAATAATAAAGGGTTAGTTACCCTTCCATCTTTTTGTTTCTTGTCACACGAACTCAAGCAATTGTTCGCTTGGCGGTTCTTAAGATCCGTCACTTTCTACAGTAACTGAGAATTACACAAGTGAGAATCCCACATAGCAAAAACTGTATTGCACAATAAACACACCATTTTATCCTTCATAGAAGTAAAGAAACAATCTAACTCCCACCCTACATTAAATGTTCTATTTTCTTATTTTAGAATTTGATATGATGAAGAAAAAAAAAATATCAAATAATACCTTTAAAAATATGCATACTTGTTAGAAATACAATAAAACTGTGTACTGGTAAAACCATGGAATAAGTAAAACAATAACAACTGCATTTTCACAATGGCCAGTAGCAATACATGACGAGACTGTTACAAGCAGGCACAGTCCACAACTTACAGGAGAATGCTGTGAGGTGTGGGGCAGAGAGAGAAATAGATACTTGAACCTCAGGCTACGAAAGGCTCCATGAGTTGGGGATATGCAGCATTTTAATTCCTGTTATGCTCAATAGATGGCAACAAATTATTTTATTCTATTAATTTAAAAAGAACACATATGCAGCCTACAAGCCCAAGCCACCAACTAGACCGTCAATTTGGCATATAAAATATAAAATTAATTCATAATTTCCCTGATAAATACAATACACAATACTTATATTTCTTGTAAGAACTTTCAAATAAATGAGTTTGAAAACAGGATATCAAAAATAATATTTAAGCCAAATTATACAAATATATTTTTAGTCAGCAATTAAATGATCATTTACTATTTTTAATATTTTGCAAAGGAAATTTAAATTATTTGAAATGCAAAATTCCATTTCAACTGATATCTGACATATGGATTAGCTATCAAATTAACGTATATTTTTACCTAATACGAGTTTAATCAAATATAATATCATAAACACTTTAAATTATTAAAGTAAATAAAAATAAAAATACTTACTTACCTCCACAATATATATAGAAGTGAAGAATTTAGAACAAAAAACTGCATGTCATTCGCTAAATACCAAGTCCAAGTCAAGCACTATAAAAAGATAGTCTTGTTTCAAGAGAGGAGAAGGATAAATTAAATAAAGTGCATGCATGCACACATACATACAAAAAAGTTTAAATATTAATAATTTTTAATTCTACTTGCTGTTGTCTTAAATGAAATAGAAAATTCTTGCATAAATGAAAGTTGGGAAGTTTATAACAACTGATTACAATTCCAGATTTCTTCTATATAAATTACAGCAATGGGCATAGCAATTTAAATACTTTGGCATATAAAATTTCATCCAATCATCTTTAATTTTCAGGAATTCAGGAACAACCTGCAGCATACTGCATAAATCCAGCAACATGGTTCAATATGTAGCCTAAATTAGTATAACTGCTGCAGCTATGCACATGAAGACAATTATCTTTCAAAATGAAAACGATTCTCTCCTTATGAAACATGAATTAGCGACTGATGACAACTCGTTTAAGCAATTTCTATAAATACACATCATTACAAATTCTTTTTGTATGTTTAGGATGATACATTATTATATTTGCTTTTCAATACTTGACAACTGACTATGCATTCTGGAAAGAAAAGTACTTGTTTGAGTATGTTCCACCATCCTTTAAAGTTTTGTTTGTTCTTTGTTTGTTTGAAATACATGGTATATATTTCTGGATGCTATATAATACATTAGATAGCATATGTCACAGTTTGCAAATCATGCATCATATATAACACTACACTTATTAACTTAACAGCTCACAGGGAGGGGGGGAAGAAATGAAATGTAAGTAAATTTACCATTGAATCAATGGGAAGGAAGTTATTTATATAAAGTAAATTCCACCACCAGTTCTTTTTGCATTCTGTAACATTTGCAGCTTCACCCCAGAATGGTCCAGATCCAAGGTATTTAAATATCAAAATATTAAATCCAAGTAGAAATAAGTAAACAGGTGTAATTCTAATAAAAAGAAAAGAACAAGTTTCATTTTATAATAAAAAAGCAAATAATATAAAGTGATTTCAGACTTAAAACTCTACGAAAATCAAAGACTTGAAAAGAACATAAATATGTGGGCAATAATACAAGATAAACTGATCCTTTTTTTATTGCCTTATTTTGCACATACAAAGAAACATAGTTTTAAAAATACATTCTGAAATATATAAACTAAAATAATTACCTTATTATTCGATGCAAACATAATGCAAGCCAGTTTATTTTACCATTTCTTTTCTCAGCTTCTTTAAGATATAAATAAGTTAATAAAAAGCCCCTGAAAATAAACATTATGCATCATATAACAAAATTTTGAGTATAATATAACAGAATATTACATATTGCAGAAGTAGCTAAGCAGATATGCATGGAATTGCTGATCTTAAAACAGACTTGTACTTAAAGCTACTTTTCCTTTTTAACAATTCTAAGTTACAGCTTTACTTATTTATTATAATAATTTAACTATTAAATAAAATATTTTTATACAAATACATTGGGGTTTCCTTGGCAAGATACATGTGACTTTCTTAAAAAAATATTTTTAAAAACTCTAAAGTGGGAAAATATACATACCCAACAAAGAAGAATGTATCAACAGAAAAAGTACCTTGAATAACCACTTGAAATGGTAAATTATCAATGCCATGTAACAAATCAAGTGGATTTTCTGCAAAAAGATCATAAGTGTTATAAAATCATCTACAGAATTTTAAAAAATCAATAATTTTTAAAATCATATTAAAACATTTTTTGAAAAATTTTCGGTCAAAACATTGACTTAAGATTTCTGAATAAAATAAAATCACCTATATGTGGAATCTAAAAATTATATTTCCCTTACTTTAGTTGCCATATTCAAGAACTTTAATTACACTTCTTCCAAAAGTAAGAGTTAAAATAGTTCATTTATATGTTTTAAAACATAAATTTGAAGTAATTCTGTTTTGAATTCATTAACTAATTTTTAAGTAGCCTGTGGCACCAGAAGTGTAAAAGCAAATGGCTTAACTTTAATGAAACACTAGATGTTGAAGCTAATTTTTATAGTATGCAATTTTAAAGAACACTTCTGATTATATATTTTAAAGTTATGTTTGGAATTTGAATTTGACTTCAAATTTTGAAAGAATTATGTTAATACAAAATAAGCAAAAAAAATGTCATTTACAGACATCTAAAATACACCAACAGAAAAAAAAATTCCAACACAAAGAAGGAGTTGTTCTATATAAACAAAATTTGTTAGGCATGATGACATCTGAAAGACGACGTCTATTCAAATTTTACACTAGGTGCATATATAAGGCACTAACAGCACCACTATGAACATATATATCAGGTTAGCTTTAAATATGTGCTGTAAAGTTCGTGAGTGTCAGTGAGTTGATGTTAGTCAAGATGACAAAGAACACATTAGCAACAGCTCAATGACTTTGAACAAGGTCATGTAATAGGGTTATAAGAAGGATTTTCTTTCCATGATATTGCAGAAAGACTTGGCAAGAATGCATCCACTGTGCCTGATTGTTGGCCGCAGTGGTCAAGGGAAGGTAATGGATCAAAATGACACCATGTTCAGAGCAGCTACATGGCAAGAAGACCACCATATTTGGCGTATGGCCGTGGCCAAATCATACAGTACTGCAGCAGAAATTCAAGCTGCAGTTGGCACTAATCAGTGACATAATGAGCAGTTACAAATGAACTGTTATTTAAAGGACATCTCCTGCAGCGTGCATTCCACCGATTCCAAACCACTGCCATTTTACAACATCAATGCTCTAATTAGAGCTCATTGGAAGACAGAGTGGTGACTTGTTGTATTTTCTGATGAAGGCCGGTTCTGCCTTGGTGCCATGAATCGCTATGTGTTGGTTAGAAGGAGGCCAGATGAGTGCTTGCAACTAACCTATCTGTGGCCTAGACACACTGGACCTGTACCTGAAGTTATGGACTAGACAGCAGAAGCAGTCTCCTAATTATCCCACACACCCTGACTGCAAATTTTTACGTCAGTCTGGTGATTCAACCTGTTCTGCTATCATTCATGAACAACATTCAAGGGGCAGTTTTCCAACAGGATAACACTCTCATGCCGTTGTTGTAATCCAACATGACTACAGACTGTTGACATACAGTCTTGGCCTACTAGATCACTAGATCTTTCTCGAATCGAGCACATGCGGGACATCATTGAATGACACCTCCAGCATCATCAACAATCAACATTAACCATTCCTATATTGACCAACCAGGTACAACAGGCATGGAACTCCATTTCACAAACTGACATCCAGCACATGTATAACATAGTGTAGGCTTATGTTTGCATGCTTCCATTCAAAATTCTGGTGGTTACACTGGTTATTAATGTACCAGCATTTCACATTTGAAATGGTTCTTCTTGCAATTGCATTAATCTGTGATCTTGAAAATTAAATCAATTACATGTTACTTAGACAAATGCAATGTCAAAATTTCATTATTCTACATTAACTTTTTTCTTGGTGTTGGAATGTTTCCCCCCCCCCCATCAGTGTATATGGGAATGAGCATCCTGTTCAAATGGTCAAAACAGATAGGATGAATGAGTAAAATGCTAAAGCAGATAATTACTTTCAGTTGGTCTGGTTAATCATAACAAACTTTGGATAGTGTTTTGTTTAATTAATGGTCAGGACTTTATTTAATAGCCATTAGCCTTACATCACTAGAAGGGCCAGAAGTGGTGCTCATTTCTTTTAAGCTCATTTCTTTTTCTTCTAAGCACCTAATAGGTGGCCATCGTTGCCTCCTATGTAGGGGTATACAATTACAACCATGCCTTCTCCAGGATTTGAAATTGGGCCCATCACTATTGCAGTCAGAGTCACTAAGCATTATACCAGCAGAGTGGCAATTTTGGATAGTAGAATCAATAAAAAGTTCCAAAAAAGTACTGTTAATTAATAAAGATAGCCAGCATTGACATTGAGAAAAATAAATATAGGTGCTGTTTTGTTATCACGATCGAATTTAGAAACGTATGAATGTATACGCATGCGTACATATGTGCATATATGTGTAGATGCATACACACACACAAATATTTGTGCTTACATACATACATGCACACATGAATACATACACACATGCATACATACATTTCTGGATCCAGTCCTGATAACAAAACAGTACCTAAATATACAATGTTCAAAATTAAATTTAATCTTATATAAAAGAGGAAATATAGAATGATCCAAACTAAATTTAATCTTATATAGAAGAGGAAATATAGAATGATCCAAACTAAATTTAATCTTATTTAGAAGAGGTTTCTGCAAAAAATTATAAGTTCCAAACCGTTTCAAGGGAAAAAAAAAATCATTTCACAGTATAATAGGAAATGCATGCCTAAATATCACAGACAATAAAAATAAAATTTATATGCTTAACTTTTTTATTTTATACAAAATTATAGAAAGAAATTAAATAATAATGATTCTTAGAATACAACAAGAACAAGCAACAAACAAACAAAAAAAAAAAAAAAAAAGTTCCAGTTTGCATAACTTCATGTCTTACAGTCAAACTGTGCATAGAAAAGCAGTGACAATTAATGCCTTGCAGTCAAATTAAGTATAAAAAAGTAATCACAATTGCTGAAAGTTATTAATTCATTTAGCTTACCAGAACATGTAATAATTATGAATTTTTTTATAAAAACAAAGGGAAGTCCTGTGACCATACTTCTTACACTTCTCTATCTAAAAGACTTCCTTTTTTTTTTTTAATCCCAAAGGAGAAATTGGCACAGAAGGGCTATTAATTTCGTTTTAGTGTTTTGCGCTATAAAACAAATTGTTGCCACCAAATATTAGAGCCCTGCATTATATTTAAAGAATTTACATAAGGAAGCATGAATGCATGTATGTTTCTTGCATTGTAAAAAACAATGGTATCTACAGACATCAAATTTTGAATAATATAGTCCCCCACTAGAATATGGGCACCTGGAATTTATTGTGTATTTCATATTTTGTAAAACTTAAATGAATTTTTGATTAACAAATTCAACATTTTCAAAGTGAGCAATGGCAACACTGCACGAAAAAAAAAAACATTTTTATCTCTAGCGCGTGAGACTGTGTATTGAAATTCCACAAAATATGCTCTTTTTATATATTTTGTGATATTGCTGCTGAATTGAATTTTATGGTTTAAATGCAAAGAACATGATATTTAGTAAATAAAAATAACACACAAAATGTTTAAAAAACGTTCCTCTGTGTGTAATATAAAATCTGAAAGCTTTCAGAATTTTTTTTTCTTTCAAGTGGACAGAAAAAGAAAAACACGAACTCAGTTCTAGGAAATTTAATACTTGACAATATTTAAATTTTTAGAACCAGAAATACCAGAAATAGTAGATTTTAATGATGATGACAGATGACGTTCTTCCCTTAATCCAAACTTTCTCATGAATATTAGTTATTAAAAGACAAAACAATTTGATAAAATTTTTATATTACTTTAAAGTTAGTAAGTATAGTAAGTTAGTGATAAATATCAGTTAATGGTTATAAACAAGATATCTTTAACCTTTTACCATTCTTCTTCCTATCCTAGTAGTTTTGTGAGAGCTCCGGGATATCACAAGATGCTCAATATTTTCATCACAGTAAAAGTTCCTTAAGCCTCAAATACTTAAGCAGCATATATAAGTTTAACAATAGTTTCTCGCAGCTTTAAGGGCATGCATATATGTAAAAATACACTCACATTAAGATATTGGAAATTTTGTAAAAAAAAGCATTCAGATATAATGTATCACAGACATTTTGGAATTATAACTCAATGAATACATCATTTATAATTTTGCATTAAAATTTCACTAATAATTTACTCAATTACTCACATTGTTCCTTTCTGCTCACTCACCGCATTCCATATGCTATATGCCCAATAATTTCTGTGGGCTGTGCGATTCATTTACTAAAATGCCACAAGCTGAAATGGTGTACTCCATAAGATATTAATTTTAAAAGTACTCAAAACTTAGAGTGCTCTCAGAGTTCTTGAAAACAAATTTGATTGCTGATAGCTTTTTTTTTTTTTTTTTCCTTTTTTACATGTAGGATCATTTAAAAAGATTTGTTGATGCATATTGTTAACTTAGCAAACTAAAAGAAAAGTAGTGCAATACATAGAACACAGAATTAGTTACATATGACCATATTCCCTGCAAAGCTAACATCTCTGCTCAGCAGGCATATCTTTGAGATTTATTTAAAAAAAGGTTTCTTTAGTCTATGTACTTTCTGATCCATTGAATTGTTATCTTTCATTTGAATCACAAAGCATAATTTTTTCCCATCCTTCCCTCCTGTCCTTAATCATAAATATTCAAATTCTGGTGTTATTTCAATTAAGATTTAGAATTACACAGATCTAAATAGGACATTTTAGTTATGATCACGCTATAGTACAATTATTAAAATACTGAAACACTTTTATAGCCAAACTTGTAAAAAATTAATAATTGACCTTCTACAAACCATAAGTTACAGAGCTTAAATTCTTCAGCAAAGTGAAAGTATTTTGAAACATGCAGAAGACAGAAAACCAATCAATTAAAAAAAATTAAGTCATAGTATATATATATGTCATAGTATATGAAAACAACCACAACCTATTAACTCGATAAATATAAATTAATAAACACAATTATTTAGACAAGGAAATTAATTATAATCTGGAAAATTACGGTGCTCCGCAGATATAATATTAAGGAAAATGCATACTTTAACCAGTAGAACTGAAGCAGAAAAGATGTACTGCAAATATATACTTATAAATTCTATAAGTAGCTGAAAATCCTAAAGAAACACATTTTTTTTTTCAAGAAATGTTTAATATTTTAATAATTATTTTAGTAATTATTTGCATAAACATCATGAGAAGCTAAACACAGCTAAACATAAAGAAACTGTATACAGCTAAAATAGTTTGCAGAAGGGAATTTAGAAGATAAATTATTCCTTTAATTAAACAAACATTACGATAAAGAATGACATCACACAGCCATATTTATCCTTCCATATATCTTCTTACCGGCACTGGGAAAATATAATGTATTACTATAAAATGCAAGACTTATATTATGTAGTAATATATTTACATAAAATAAAAGAATATATGTGATTTGTTCACTAACTTTTTAATGGGAAAGCCCACAAACCATGTGTGATAAGCATAGTTACAAAGTAATGCTCTACAAATGTAGTTTTACATCAAAACATTTTTGCATCTAAAAATATTATAATTCAGGAAAGCAATAAACTTTCTGCATAATAAAAAGATTTACAATTGTATAAAAATTTATTAATTCATTTTTCAGTTATTAGCATACAAAAGAAAGCAATACTTATATTTATCATATAAAGAACATGAATGCAGAATGAAACAGTTGTGAAATTCAAAATCACAATAACAACCCTGTATTTAGCGTACATATATTAAAACACTCAATCGATTTCGAGGGCAGTCTAAAGGTCCCTCCTCATCGGGAGAACGAAATTACTAGAAAGGAGAAAATGAAGAAAAAATAAAGCATTGGCAAAGGAGTCTCAGAAACACGTGGTCGTTATCAGCACTGCACGTGGTCATAATTGGATTTTGAATCAGAGTTACACTGGCTGCCGGTTCTGACCATGTGCAGTGTTGATAACGACCACGTGTTAATGAGACTCCTTTGCCAATGCTTTATTTTTTCTTCTTTCCCCCCTTTCTAGTAATTTCATTCTCCTGATGAGGAGGGACCTTTAGCTGCCCTTGAAATTGATTGAGTGTTTTAATATATGCACGCTAAATACAAGGTTGTTATTGTGATTTTGATTGTCACATTGGCATGTTTCTTTTCTATTACAGTTGTGAAAATTCTATACATTTAAAAAGAATATCATCTTAAATACTGCTCCCAAATATCGAAAGAAGATCTTTGACAAGCTAGTATAACAGATCTAAGAAATACATACCAATTTGAATGTTAAAATTAGCCAATTAGACAAGCAATAATTTGAGAGAAAAGCTCTATGCATTTTGATGCTATCTAATTATCAGCTATAATTTAACAACTTAAATTTCTTAAAAAAATAAAAGTAAAATAAATAAATAAAAAATCCAACAGGTTTCAGATTTTAACAGTCCTCAAAAAGGTTTGTTAAGGTTTTTTACACTGTAGCTGAGCTCGCAGTCTATTAATATGCTCTTGCACTCAGTCCTGATAAACATTTTTTTTTTTTTTTTTTTTTTTTTTTGTCTTTTAGGTTTTGTTATTAAGTATTGTTTCTTTCGATTACAACATATATAGTTCAACAAAATTTTTAAAAGCTGTGTAGCAGCTTATGTTTAGAATGCAGTGTTATGCATCAGCACACATTTTTACATTGTTTTCAGTCTTTTCTCATTTCATCATAACAATTTTCTTAGTAAGATGGATAACAAAAAGTTTGTTTTGTCTTTATATTACTAATCTTTCATGTGTTAACTTTTTTAATTAAATATCATTTTCTTCACACTTGCAACATATAAAATTCAGTTCAACAGCAAAATCACAAAACATTTAATATCTTTAAGATATATCGTTTTTAAATAATTATCGATAGAGTGTTAGAGATTTCCATATATAATTTTTTATTTGCTATATTATTTCTTTAAAAACCAGCTGATTAAAAAATTATCATGAAAAAGTACATAATGATTTTTAGTATCTACATTTTTCAGTTACTTCTAGTTAATGTTAATTTCATAAAAGTATTGAGATTTCTAATTAGATACCTCATGACTTTAATACAATCACATTAAAAAGTAGAAAAAAAATATTAAGAACTATATTTATTGCTTTTAAGTCACTTACTTTATTTCTAAATGATATTCCAGGTAGAACTAGTTTAAGACTTTACTGAATGATAACACGTTGACACACGGAAGATAAAAATATTTTATTTCTGGTTGCCACAACACATTGCTTTCATGGAGATGAGTTTATCAATTAAAATTGAAAGATGAATATCTTACAATTTTCTGAGTGGCAACAATCTCACATGATGGAGATAAAAATGTTTTATTTTGAACAGTGTTATTACTTCTCCTTTTCAAATTGCTGAGCCTGTTAATCAAAAACTCATCAAATTTGCAATAAAAAATAATAAAATAAACCCAAAATTCAAAATCGATGCTTCTAGGAGCTCATGTTTGGATAAAGGACTATGTTATTCAAAATGGGATGGTTCTAGGTACCATTATCTTTTCACAGTATGAGGAGCATACACACATACATGCAGATGCTTATTTAATTTCTTATAATATTTGGTGGTAAAAGTGTGAATCAATGCAAATTCCCATTTTGAGATTAATAACTCCTTTTGGGCTAATAAGCAACAGATGTGGTATTGTCTTAATCTGTAGATACACTGAAAAAAAAATTAATTATTCACAAAAGAGGTTAAGTTTCTACACCAACATTCATTCTGATTCTTGAATTTTTATAAACATTGTTTCAAAAATACTAAAATTTCTATTTGCCTTTATTACTATTCAACAAAATTAAAAACTTTTAGAACTACTTCAGTTTTTAAATATAATTTTCTTCCAATATTATTTCTTAGCACACAAATTTCATTTTCTCACCAATAACATTTATGTTGTGAATGTATGTATGTCCAAGTATTACCCAAGTCATACTAAAGAACTTTATGCCATGTATGCATGGAAACTGCTTCTTTGAGGTACTTGTATCTAAGATCTTAGCAGCATTGGAAAATAAACAAAAGCATTTCAGAAATTTCAACATCTTGTTCCAATGACCTATAAAAAATGATTTGATAACAATCTCAGTCATATTTTCATATTACAAATAACAGAATAACTATTCTCTTAATGCACATGTATAATCATGCACTAAAATGCACAAATATTTCCCTTTAATTACGAAAAACAAGTTTGGTTCAGCTATCTAATCATCATAGCCACAGGAAATAACTTGTTATTCATATTATTATTTAAATACCTAATTCTCATGTTAAACCACAGAAGTGACAGCAGTACATAAAATTACTATACTTTTAAAAAGCTCAGGAGAGCACAAAATTCAAATAATAATTTTATTTTCTAAGTTATGAGAGTTAAAAAGTTTGATATGAAATAAAGTTTAATTTACCAATAAATTTTACATAAAAAAATCTGATTGAAGATGATTACTGTTATACATAAAAACCAATCATGTAAGATTTCACTGTCCCATGTCTAGATGTATAAAATAGATTCCCTCTTTTCAGACTCACTTTAATCAGCCATATTTCCATCAATTGTTATTCAGGGAATTGAATTTGTATTACTAATTCTAGGAAATGGATAGAGTTAGGCTTACCAGAAGCCTTCTTTGTTTGGGACTGTTTTAGTTTGATGATATGGTCCTTGCTCCCAGACAATTTGTCATTTTGTCCCATTTATTTGGTAACATTTTAAAAGCACCTAATATACATGAAGTAAAAATAATGCAGCTTAGGATAAAACAGTGATTAGGTAAACAAAATATCCCTTCTGTTACACTCACTGTTGTCAATTTAAATATTTTACAGCTCCAGATCTATGTACCTTTAAAGTTGTTTAGACATTCTCCTTCAAAATTATAACATGCAGCCTAATAAATTTATATGTTTAAATTTTTCATCACATAGCCCACGAGATGCAGATTTTTATAGTCCAAAGTGGCAATTTGCCTCGAAGAACTAATTTCGTTTTGGCATTTTGCATTGATTCACTAGAAATGTCGCTTCACTTTTCAAATCATTTCCACCAAATATTAGAGCCCTGCGTTATATTTAAAGAAATTAAATAATGAAGAATTTGCATAAATGTATGTATGTTTCTCACACTGTAATAAAAACAACAGTACTTAGAACCATCAAATTTTGAATATTGTACGTTTCCACCCAAATATGGGCATCAGAAAACACAAATTTCGAAATTGTTTTATTATCTATTTTATATTTTGTAAAACTTTAACGAATTTTTATTAACAAACTTGACAATCCCTCCAGCATGCGAGACTGTGTATCGGAAATTCTAAATTATGCTCATTGTAAAATTATTTTGCGATATTGCTGTTGAACTGAATTTTTTGGTTTAAGCGCAAGGAACATGATATTTAATAAATAAAGGTAACACACAAAATATTAAAAAAAGACCCTTTGGGAGGTAATGTAAAATCTGAAACTTTTCAGATTTTCTTTTTTTTTCAGTCTTTAGATATTTTATTTCAATTAGCCTTGACAACACTGGAACTTAGACCTCAGCCATGTCATTGTTGAGCATGTTCTATCTTAGTAGAGTTCAAATTGCGAGTTGGCATTTGCGATTATTTTGTATTTTACATTAAATTAATTTAATCGCCAAAACACCAAAAAGAAACTATATGTTTACTGATGAATGAAAAAATGATTATCCATTTTTTTAAAAAATTTGTGATCGTACTGAAAGTGAAATGTGAATAATGCTTTTCGGAATTCTCAGTAGCTTGAAGTGGGTATTTGGACATTACAAATCTCTTGAAATATGCAAAACATATGGCAGCCTAGTAGTAGTAGCAGCAGAAATTTCCTCAAATATATTATCATATTTAAAAGGCACTCATTTAAATGACAAAGAATTCTTAATTAGAGCTAAAGAAGCAATTTTTGCATTTCATGTTACTATTCACAATATCAGGTGAGTGTTCATCAGCTTTATGTCAGATGATTGTTTATCTAAATTAATTTCAAATCACATCAAAACAAAATTTAGACTAGCCAGAACAAAATGTAAAACTGTCACTGTTAACGTGGTTGAGCTACTGTTGCTTCAGAAGCTTTGTGAAGATTTAAATAAAACAAATTTTGTGACACTTCAATAGATTCTTCTAACAGGAAAGAAATTAAAACCGTGCTGATTGGTGTGTAACATTTTGCACCAAATTGTGGTGTAATAGTTAAACTTTTAGACTTTCAACCAGTTCCCAGTGAAACTACAGAAATCTGACAAACCATTTAATATCAGTTATAAGAACTCAGAATATAGGAATGGAAGAAAAAAGTCATTGGATTTTGTGGACTAATTGAAAGACCAATTTTGAGGGTATTAAACATGAAGGAGAAAACAATATTTATAACTGATTAATAAATAAACTAGGAAAAAATATTACTAGCATTGGTTGTAAACTGGTGAAATATTGTTGGCACACTATACAACTGCTTTCAAACTTCAGATGGTGTTCTACCTATTGAACTAGAAATTTTATTGGTCAAAATTTACAAACATTTCCACATTTATACAACTCAAGTTATTAAACGATGTCTGTGAATTTGTAGACACAGAGTATAAAAAGGTTCTTCAACACTCATTTTCTTTGACTATTTCCTGCTAGCTATTGACGTATGATAAATCTATAAAGGATTGAAATCTTATTTCACAGGAACACTGTACAAAGATGAAAAAACAGTTTTTTAATAATAATTGCGGTGAAATATATTTGTGATCCGTGATCTGTGCAATGGTAACTCAAATTATTTAACTATTAAATATTAAGCTATCTTGATTGTGGGAAGTACCAAAATGAGAGCAACTGATACTGTCATCCAAATTAGAAAATGAAAAACAAGACTAGGGGCAAGGCGTGATATTATATTTATGCCTCAAGAAGCAACAAAAAAAAAAAAAAATTAGAATACTGGAAAGTAATGGAATTATTAATATCAATCCTACAAATAGTTTGTATCATTTTATGATACAAAAATATAGATGTCTTTCTTACATTGAACTAAGAGTTTGGGGAAGCAGAATTGTATTTGGATAAAAAAATAATCAATTAACATAATCTGAAAGTGAAGCTTCTGGTGGAAAAATTGATGAAACTGTGGAAAATAAGATAATAAACATGGATCAACTTTTAAATGAAGTAGTGATTGCAAAAGTTTTCAGAATTTCAAAAATCAAGAAAAATAAAATTTGTGAAGAAAAATGAATACAAGTTTTCAATCATTTCAAGGGAAAAAACATTACATTGCTGAATTTTGTTTAAACAGCAGATTACATTTCTAGTAGGCCAGGCACCTCGGTACCAGTCAAAAGAATATTATCAATAATGGATATCATATGGTCTGAAGAAAGAGATAGAATATTATCAATAATGGATATCATATGGTCTGAAGAAAGAGGTAGAATGGCTGAATCAATCACAGAAACTTTACTAAGTTCAAAATTAACTATAAACTAAATTAAGTGATTTTTTGATGTTATTAAAAATAACAAAGAATTTATTGCTTATTTGGCATTTCAATCATAGGTAGTAGGTTTCTATTGTTCATAATCATAGGTAGTAGGTTCTATTGTTAGCATTTTTGCAAAATAGTCCCTGTTTAGTAGAAAATATTATGGTAAGCCTAGTTATAGGGCTTTATACTCAAAGACAAGGTATTGTTTTATTGAAAAAGTAAAATAAAAGCACTTAACTATAGAACTGAATTTTTTAAAACTTATGTTTCATTTAATGTAGCGACCTACATCTTTTCTTTCTTAATGTAATAGTTTTTCATTAGTTTTTATTTTTTCAGTTTATGCTAATTTAGAATTATAAACTCGGACAAAAAGACTCTTGCAACTATGGTGACATATAATGAACAGATAACTGTTTATCAGTGATCCATATTATCTTTATGAAAGGGTAACATGATTTTAACTTGAATTATAATATAAATATACATACAATTAAAATTAATGAGTATTAATAAACAAATGTTTAATAAATCTGCATTAACAGTATATGCACAATAATCTTGATTAAAAATTTATAAATATTATTGAAAAATTAATTATTTATTATTCATTTTAGAGCCTAGTCCTATAAAGGTTGGTTAATAAGAATACTTTAAGGAGCTTTTTGAAATAACATAAAATATAAATATTTAAATTCTCAGCTCCTTTTTATATTACACATTACTTTTCTCTCTCTTTTTTAATAAATTTAATAACTTACACGAGCATTTCTGATTTTGAAAACATTCAGGTTTTTCCTCATAATATGCAGAAAAATTTTGATCATCTTCACAGAATTCCAATTCTAGAGAGGCTTCTAGATCTTCTGTATTTACAAAATTACTATATTTGTTGTCTGCTGAAGTGGCATCAATTAATGCAACAGAATTTTTCAATACTTTTTTTATGCTTCTCATGGATTTAAAGACTGTTACAAAGCTTGCCAATAAAACTACACACAGATATGCATTTACTAGAAATCTGAAAAGAAAAATATAAATTATTAAATTTTTGAAACATAAAAATTAACTTTATTCAATTATAACATCATCAACTCAGTGAAAACCGTAATTAAAAGTAAATAAAATGACAGCCCAAACAAGTATGTGCACAAATTATATGCATAAAATAATGCTACAAAAACTGAGTATGTTTTTGACAGAAGAAACAGAAACAAAAATTCCTTAAGTTCTCCTTTAAGACATGCTACTCTACTTTTTCAGATTGAGTTAAAGGAATTTCTTAACATATTGAATATGCTTAACATATTGAATATATAGTTTATGATGCCATTACAAAAGAATTTTTGCAAACTTCTATGGATTCAAAAGTTGTACTGAAAACAAAGCCATACATTTCAATGACAAAATAAAAGCTATTAAAAAGGAAGTTCAGGAAGATTGAGAGTAATTTTCTAATCAATGGAGAGAAACGAAGAGAAAATAATCGGGCTTTTATTTAATCTTCACAGTGACACTGCCATATAATTTAACGGAAACTCTCAATAATAAGGGGGGGGGGGAATTCAGGGTAGACTTTCTTCCCTTTTTTTCTTTCAAAAAGTATGTGCAGAAATTAAATGCATAAAATAATGCTATAAAAATGTTGGCGTCTTATTAACTACACCTCACTTTGCATGAAAGGACTCAAAGTAGGAAAAGCGTAACTAAAGTCTTGTTCTGCAGAAATGTCAAGGATTTCATCCCCAAGTTCACTATTGAATGTGCATCAAATGATATTTTACTTTGCTATATAGTTCAGAAATCTGAAATTAATCTATAACTTGAAATTAAAACACAAATCTGAATAGGTTTAATTTTATATTTCAAATAGTATTTCTAGTTTATTTCTTTGCATTTGAAATTTTATCATTATTCAACAGAAAATTAAATTCATCAAAAGTAAAAATCAAAGACATGCAAGTAATCTGTATAGGTTAACAAACCCTTAGTTAAAATCTTTTGAATAGAATAATTTTGGTACTATTCTGTTTTGAGGACCGTAAAAAAATTCCAACGGAAATGTACGTGCAAAAGCGCCAAATCTAGCAAATGTGGCCATTTAACAGCGCACCAAATCTAGCGTATGCGCTGATTCCAGATTGCATAAGTTTATATAGTTCTATATTTCTTAAGAAGCCATTGAAATACTAGTTTAATTTTTAAATCCTTTTTTGAAATCCTATGGATTTAACAATTTGGGAATTGCCCATGAAGAAAAGTTTGCAATGAATTTTTGGGTAAAGCACAGAATCACCCACTGCTTGACGCATTTTTAAGAATTGCATATACTTGGTATCCATGTACACATCGACATATTTTCACTTAAAAATAATCCCAGAATTGCACAAAAACGGCACTGCGCACACCTTTATCGAGAATGCTTTCATAGAAAAGGCATCATTCATTATAGAAAATTCTATTTGAACAACCAACGAGATGAAATTATGCTTTAGAGATAACTCGGTAGCGAAATAACGATGCAGGCATCCATTCAGTTATGTTTAGCAATTTTTATACAGGGTTCGCACACATTTCTGCACACGGAAATTAAGTACTTTTAAGGACTTTTAAGGACCATTAATGAAAAAAATTAAGGACCTATGAGCAAATGGGAACTAAATAAATTCAATTGAAGATATTATCTATACCTGAATTTCCCTTTTGCAATACCATCCTAAAAATAAAATAGATCCCTAAGTAGTACGCATTATTGCTAAACATGAATTAATTAATATAATTGTTAATAAGTTTAAAAATAAAATAAACTTTATGCTATTTATCAAGTAAATTTAAATATATTACACTTATAATTGTTGGTCATATTTGAAAGAAAATAAGTGGCATTTACGTTTTACTAAAAGTTAGCTTTATGTTGATTTTTGTTATGTCTCATTTTGTCACATACTTGGTCAGTCTAACGGTTTAGTAAATAATCAGGTAGATTTTATGTCAAACTGCATAGGTTAAAATGAGAAGTAAAACATAATCAGCATTATTCTTAATGAAAAACTGAATGTTATCACCACTGCTGCTTGTCTAGAGAGAGACCTGCTGATTAGAACAAACCTGAAAGGCCTGATGTAAGCAAGGTTGGCAAGTGTTGAAAGTTAGTCAGGTTTTGTTTGATGAAGTTAGTGTCATAGCTTTGTGTACAGTTCCAGGAGTTATAACCCAGTTAATATACTTTAAAGTTTCAATATGCCATTAAAGCACCAGAGGTGATAAGTTGCTTTGCTTTATTTTAAGTAGATGCATAGAATATGTTTTACTTGAATTTTTACATTTTTATAATTTATCTTGTGACCACAGTGAGTATTAATGAAAGGCAATAACTCGCTTTAATATGTAGAGATAATTTTTAAGGGTAAGCAGTTAGATATAAATAATTAAATTAGGTAGCTTGACAACCTTAGTCATTATCATTATGGATTTACATGACCACTATTAAATTTTATTTTTTAGCAATATTTGTTAAAAAAAGCCCTATTTGAATCAAAATCTAATAAAATTTCACAGTTTAAAGTATATGTAATTTATGACACAGATTCTTAAATGATATTAAGATAATTGCGCATTAAAAGCTACAGAACATTTAGTTTTGTAGCACAACAACACTCAACAAAATATTTATCCGTTATTTTAATTCGAAGTCTTCCCAGACATTTTGGCTTAGTTTATATCGATTTCCTTCTCTTTCAGCATGTTTTCTAACAATTAGAGATTTGTCTCAATATACAAATCAATGCTCTTGCTAGTCTATTCTGGATGTGTTATCTCCTAACTTGTCAACCTCTCCCACAATGTACCTATGAGGTTTAATTGATCTGGTTAAAAGTTAAATAGTCCAACTCTTACTATGAAAAAATTAAAAATAAGACATTTTTTAATTAATTACATAGTTAATTTTGCTTTTGCTAAGAGCTGTTTCATAAATTGGGCTTTATAGCATTATACCTTGTTTATTTTTCAGATTAAAAATATTGTATAATAAGTTGCCAAAATGAAACTTTATAATATGACAGCAAAAATAAAAATGTCTTATTTTAATGTTATTTTTAAAATATAATTTTAATATATCACCATTATTTTAATGAAATTTATTAATGTTACGATGTTTTAAAAAAAATCGTCGAAAAATTCTCAGACCTCGAAATTAAAAAGTTTCTATAGACTAATCTTAAAATCGCCAAACTGTTGAAAAGTCGCCAAATTTAGAACCATTTAATAAAAGAATTCACATCCCCAAAAGTGAAAAGTTGTTTAAGAGCTTTTTTATAGAAAAAATGAATTTCGAAAGGCTTATGTTTCACTTCTTTCTTAGAAACTCGAGTATTTCATCATTTATATTAGAAATAGAAACAAATTATAACTCATGAACCCATTCAAAAGATAACCATATATATGGCAGTGAATCGCCAAAAATATTCCTCAAAATGCTAATTCACACTCAAAATGACAGTCGTAAAAACAGACAAATTTCAGATGATTAAAATCAAGGACCTTCTGCTGATTTTGGCCAAAATTAAGGATTTTTAAGGACCAAAAATCGATTCCAAGAAATCTAAGGACTTTTAAGGGCTCTTAAGGACCGTACGAACCCTGTTATATAAATTCTAAAAATGATCTGAAATAGTTATTTACTCTTATGCTTCCATTCAGTCAAATTTAGCCTTTTTTATATAAATTATAAAAATAAAAAAATACAATATGAAATTAACTTTTCATCTAAATTAAAACATCAATCTTAGATAGTTATTTACTATTATACTTCCTTTCTTGCGTTAGGGCTGCCGCAATTATTTTTGGCAGCACTGGCATCAACAATAGTTTGGCGATTTTCTACGGCCCTCAAAACCGAATAGTACCATAATTTTTTCATGCCCTTTTACTACTAACTTAAATTCTGTTTAATTTTAAACTAAAGAGAAAGCTCAAAAGGCACTAGAATCAATAAAATAAACTGCCAGTTCAAAATAATGCTATTTCATGAATACTGTATAAATTTATTATCTGGAAAGAAAATGGAGAAAAGACATAACTAGAATGAGTTGTTAAAAATCACACAATGTAGAAATCTAACTATTTCTTTGAGGATTAAATTACAATTGACATATGAAAGAAATAAAATAAATTTTCAAATTTAAAATTTAGTCTCAGTCATTTTACATTTCTATTATTCTAAAAAAATTTTAGTAGAAAATACAGCCTAACTGACTTAAATTGGATACTTATAATGACTAAATACAGGTCAAAGTAGCTTTAATAATCAATCAAAGCTAAAATATTAAAAAATAAAATTTTCTAAAAATTGTAAACAATAGTATACATAATCAATAACCTTATTCATAAAACCTAAAGTATTATTACACAACAGCTAAAACTTACAAAAATATAAAAGCAGAATGATTAAGCTTAGCATCATCCATTGTACACGTCATTTTCAGCTCAGCATCATATTTATCTTGAACAGTTTTTTGTTCTAAAACAATAAAAACAAAACATTATATTTTTAAAGATAAGTTTTTAAAACTTAAACATAATCAATGAAACAATAAATTGGAATTCTAATAATTTGTTACCATAATGAGAAATATACAACATATATACAGTTCACATAGATACATTCAGTCTTACAAAGCAAGAGATCTGTTCTTGCACAAAATACATTGACATTTTTTATTAAAATAATAAATTCAGAAACTATTTCCTTACACATAATACTATGCTACAAGCTGTGAATGTGGAATGATTTCTTTAAACTCTCGGAATTAAATACTTCTTTTTTTTTCTCCCCTAGAATTCAAAAGCCTTTTCATGCTACTTCTATCTTTAAAATGCCAAAGAGTATTGAAAATTTAGTCAAATCTGAAATACAATCTGTTGATCATTTTCCAAAAGTGAATAATGTATTACTGGTAGACATTTACATTGAATTTTCAAATTTTATAGATAATATTTGATGCCTGTTTCAATAACAATCAAATTTAAGAGAAATATTAGTTAAAATCATAATATTCCTGGTGAATAGTACAATTACAGACCATCTCTTATAAAAGACAATTTGGTAACGGCTCTTGAGAGAAAACTTGTGAGGAATAGTACTTCACAACATTATCAATTTCTCTGCACCTTCCAAGGATATATATATATATATATATATATATATATATAAAAATTCTTGCCAAATTGTCAAAAGTCAGTTGAACTATTAAAAATGTGTGCTCTCACTGGGTTCTAAAAATGCTTTCTAAAGAACACAAGAAAAAATGCATTAGTTCTGCTTGTAGTTTCCTTATCTGGTATCCCAGGAAGGTGATGAATCCTTGAGTCACATCACTGCAGGTCAAAAAACATACCAGAATTTCCGGAAGAAAGGCTGCAGCGTTTACGTGTTTAAAACTGAAATTTTCAGCGGGTGCGGCATTTCAACATCAATCATCCAACTCAAGCAAAAGATAGAGAATACTTGTTTAAGATGTGATATAGCTTTATAGCAACATTTGACCACACACAATACTCAAGTTCAAGCAATCATAAACTCATTTGACTGGAAGGAAATAAATCATTTACATTCTAGACATGGAATGATATGACTTTTCCTGTATTTAAAAATATTGCTAACCAAACAATGAATTGATATTGGGAGCGGGTGGAAGCAACTTTAATTAAATAAACCACCAGCAAATTGCTATGATCAAAGAATACAAATACTACTGCCCTATTATAACAAATTTCTTAACTCCTCCATTTCCTAAATAAAACTAACTTCCTGAATATCAATGTAATGATTAAAAAATAAACTGCACTTATATGGCAATATGTCCTGTCAAAGTATACAAAGTATTGACAATTTATGCTGAATAGCATAATTTATGCTGAATAGAGTAAAAATATAATGCAAATCATTACATCAGAAATTCTATATTCCAAATAACAAAATGCCTGATCATCACAAAAGAAAAAAGAAAATTTTGAAAGAAATGCTTATATTTAATAAAATGTTAATAAAACAGTTACCAAATATGTGTGTTAAATATTTGCTTGCATTTTTAGCAGCTGCTGCTAGACAAGAATCTGGAAGACACAGTCCTGTTTTTATAGGAAGCTGTTGGACAGGCAAACTAAACTGGAAGAGAGTAAAATGCCATTTTAAATAATCTTTCAGTTTCAGCAATAATAAAAATGAGATACACTACACAAGATATTACATGATTAAGAAAATATACATGCATGCAGCATCTTATGCCTTCAAAACATATCAATCTATTAAAGAACCTGGATTTTAAAAAACCAATACTAAATGCAACTTAAAACGAATTTTATGTAGCATATTATAATGTAAATTTTATCAACATTCACAGATATTTTGTAAACTTTCTGATGATTTCTTGACATTTCAAATAAACTTCTTGAAATGTCAAAATAGTTGAATTTTGTTTTTCTTATTCTGCTTTTCTCATGTTTGAAAATGTGGTAATGAGCATAACAGAGCAAACTTCATTAGACATGTATTTTCACAGTGCTTTATATTCTTAACTAATAATGCTAATAGATTTTGATAACTCTACCATAACATTGCAGGAATTCTACTTTAGTGTGTGTGTTGTGTATTAACAAGACTCTTCTATATAAGTGTATAACAATTGTTTTAACTGTAAACAAATAGCATTGGAGTACAATGAATGCACTGCCACTATGTTCCTAACAAAGGAAAAATACAATTTGCCCAACATTCGCAGAAGACTGCATGATATGAACTACACAAAGACAAAACCATTCTCAAGAACAATGACCACAGATGGAGAAAGAAATTTAAAGGAGGAAAGAGCATTATGGAGAAACTATGCAGAGGGAAATCATAAAATATCACCATAGGATCAATCTTTAATGGATCAATAAAGTGATTCAGTTGACAATCCATAAGCTTTTTCGTTAACTGGTTCTGTGGACACTATGCAATATAAAAGATGACTAATGACTTTAAGTGTCATAAAATGTGAAATGAGTAGTACCTTGACAGCTGACAAGTTATATGAAGGAGAAGAGGGAGGTCGCTTGCTCTGATTTATTGAAAGTTTTTGAGCTATTAAAAATGCTATATTTACCTCCAACCTATATACATAAGTAAGGCAGGTAATGTTTTCAGTGAAAAATGACAAATTAGGGTCTCCACAATATGCTTTTATCATGTTTACAATGACATCTGTGAGTGTGTGTGTGTGTCTATGCATGTGATGATTTTTTGGTCCCTGATAACTCATATCAAAGTTCTGTTTTCTTTATATAAACTTTCTGCATTCATATAAAGAGTTGATTAGATTTCGGATAAAACTGAACAATCAGAAATGGTACTTTACCTAAAGCCCATGATAGATTTAGTGAAACCTATATTAACATATAATCCAAAATTTTTCAATTTTAGTACTTAAGATAAGGTGACCAGAATTTAACATTGGTAAAGCGGGACACCACTGACCGGGGGGGGGGGATTCTTCATTAAAAATTTGGTCTATATGGAGCAACACAAATTTTCATAGAATGCAAAAATAGCATTGTAATACATATTTTTTTAAATTTCAACATAAGTACAGTTTACAAATATAATACATTAAAAAATTACATATAGTATTATTTTATTCTTTGGCATATTTCTCATTTGAGTAAATTTTTTTAGTACATTGCTGTCATTTTTCTGTGGAATAACTTTGGACAACTTGTGATGTACAAGATCTGAAGGAATGATTGTGATTATTAGCATGAAAAGACATAAGTCCTTCTGCTAATGCTAATTTCTTTTCTTCGTCTCCATAAATAGTTTTCTGAAAGAATTTCTGCATTTTGGAGGAAGATGCAATAGTTATTTAAATATCTTTTATGTCTCTGTGTCCCCAAGAGCTTTGAAATATCATTCTTCCAGCTGGGCGAAATAGAAAATTCACCATTACATTTCTCACATTTTACCATGTGATCGCTTCTCTTTTTTTTAACAAAAGGAAATTCACTTCTTAGATCATCTTTGAATTTGCATCTTCTGTTCTTACTCATTATGTTAAAAATCTAAAGAAGTAATTTATTATAAATTTATAAATTATATTATAAATTTATATATACTTTATTATATAGCTTAAAAACACAGTAAGTAGGTATATAATTACATGAACATATTTTATTGTTAGTTTAAAAACTAAATTAATTAGTTTGTTATAAAGTAACTATATTTTAAAAATTATTCAAATTTTAATTCTATAATTCTTTTCGGTTAATCTTTGGATTATGGTAATTTGGCAATTTTTTGGCGAAAATTTGGTGACCAACCCTGCTACAGCAACCTGTTAGTTTTTGTTTGGACGCCATTTTCTTTTCACGAAGTAAAGGCATGTTTTTTTTTTTTTACTCAACATTTCCAACATTTTTTCCCAATAATCTGCTAGCCGAATTACGCTTATGCTAGAACTTTTATGGAACAAAAGTGTTTAATCATGACAAAGATTAGGTGCGAAATTGGGACAAAGTGCAGAATCACCCACTGCTTGATGCGTTTTTACGAATTGCACATACACGGTATCATCCATGTACATATCGACCTATTTTCACTTAAAAAAACATCCCACAATTGCACAAAAATGGCATTGTGCACACTCTTGACTATATCCATGTACACTGCTAAAGTTCTAGCTAGTAACCTTTATCGTCTTACCAAAATGTCGCCAAACTCCTGTTACCATATTCCAAAGATTAGCCTTCTTTTCTTCTCTTTAATAGCAGTATTAACTTGTATTATTTTTCCTCTGAATTTGCCGTAACGTAAGTCATAAGCGTCACTTTCAAGACCGACACTAGACCTTTTGCCACCACTATAAAATATAAATAATAAGAATACTGTCTGCTAAATTCAAGAAAATTTATATGTTTGTGAAATAAATAAATAACTAAATTATGTAAATAAATTGTTTGAATAGCTGATTTGTTGACGTCACTTGTTTAACTAGCACTAGCATGCAGTACGATGTGTATCATCTGAGAGACAGTTACAAAATTTTTTCGTCAATGCCAATGTAAAAAAATGGCATTAAGTTCAAACAACGGTGGTCGAATTCTAACATAATCAGTTGTCAACAATTATTTGTTATTATTAAAATTTAACATTATAAAATTAACAAAAAGAATATAAGACACATATCCTGGCGAAGTAGCCACATGGCGCCGAAAACTGTATTCTTCCGCCGTTCTCTAGCTTATCGTGCATTCTTTCCAAAAATTGGGACTTTTTCAAAATGTCACGGGGCAAATTGTTAAAAATCGGGTCTGTCCCACCAACAGCGGGACATTTGGTCACCTTAACTTAACTTTCATATCAATGGGAACAATATTATTAGATTTTAGCTACAATTGATAAACTAGAAGTGATACTTTACTTGAAGATCTGAACAGATTTTTGTGAAAAAAATATATCATGATATAAACCAAAACTTCCATTTAGGATTTTTACAGAAACTCAAGATCTGAGTCATTCGATAACTCAACAAATTCTTTTAAGGTGTTACATGACACAAGAAATCTTGTAAGTATCAATTAAATTTCTTTAAAAGTCACATTAATACAATTTCTTTACATTCATATACCTGAATAAAATTTTCACAATCCCAACTTCTTGTTTTGTAAAACCATTTGGGGTTGTGACTTGCAGAAAACAACATTTAAGGAAACAGCGTTTAACACAGTGTTTAAGAAACACTGGCCTAGAATGTTCAAGAGCCATGAATCAGCATAAAAGTTGATGGCAACTGTTATTTGAATAGTTGATTGAGATAACAAGCACATTATTTTCTTTGAGTTTTTGGAATGCTACCATACTGTCATCAGCAAAAATTTCACGTGTTATTAGAATGACTCTTCTACATTCCAAAAACTTTAAAAAATCACTAAGAAGCGACAAAATAAGAACCTGAACACAATCCACATTTATCAAGATATAATACATCCTCTCACACATCTTCAGTAATAACTTATGATCAATACATTGGTGGATAATAGTACCCCATAAGCAAAGAGAAAGCAGTTGTAAAAAGATGGGTAAAGCAACACACACTTAAATTTTTTCAAAGTGAATTTGAAAGTTGAGCTCAACAGTTTTACAAATACATTTACCGTATTTGAAGGCATATAAGACGCACTTTTTTTTCCTAAATTTGGCCTCAAAAAAGTTACCCGTGTCTTATATGTAAAGGACACAGGTTAACTTTCAATACTGAATGCTATTTTTATCCCGGATAAAGGTCTAGACACACAACTTTTTCTACATCTGCCATAATTATTTTGCTCATGCGTGAAATATCATCACCAAAAGCTCGAAGCTGATGTCGAAGTTTGAACAGGTTCGACGGTCACATTACATCTATGAAGCCTTTCCTTCATTACATAGACTTTGACTCAGCCGACACACGTGTCGGTATCAGTGCTATTCTTTATAAACGGGTCGGTATCGGTGCTTAAAACTATTTGTTTTAAAAAAATACCCTGGAAAATATGACTACAGGAAACAAGAGATTAAGCTATACAATTCAGTATAAACTAGGAGTGTTAAACTACGCCAAAGTGTATGGAAACAGAGCAGCAGCAAGGCATTTCGGTCCACCACCTACCGAAAAAATGATATGTACTTGGCGACTGTAGGAAGATCAATTCTCTAAAAAATAGACTGTTAAAAAAACAAAAACATAACCTTCGATGCCCAGCTCCATTTTGGCCTGAACTTGAAAATGCCGTAAAAATGTGGGTGATAGGTAAGAAGACTCTATTTCACAAGTGTGCGAGTGAGTAAAAAGATCTTAGGAGGACGTAAAGGCTGAAGTAATTGTTAAGACCTTTAAGATGTGTGGAATCAGTAATGCTCTTGACGGAACAGAAGACCACGCATTATTCAAAGAAGGTGATACGAGCGATGACGGAAACAGTAGTGATGATGATATTCTCGTTTTCGATGATGATGATAGTGAAAAGGATTTTTATGGTTTTGAAAGTGATTAAAGTCTAATTTCATGATAGGCAACGTTTTCCTTGAATCTGTGTTTTTTGTTGCTTTTGCTTTATTTTGTATTATGTTTGATTGCTTGCCGTTCATTCATTTATTCATTACTGAAATTTACATATCATGTTAAAAATAGCTTGCTGTAAATTTTCCTTAATAAAAATATGTTTCTTAATTGCATTCAACGATTATTTATTTGGCTTTTACAAAACGTGAGAACTGAAAGAAATCACATTTTAAGTTATTGTGGTACACGCTTTCGCGCGGACTATTGAAACTTTTTTCCCTTGTGTGTGGCCATCTAAATGAGGGTGCGTCTTATATGCCATCAAATACGGTACTTGTAATGAAGATTATGTTAACCAATATCTTTGTTCAGAGCAAGAGCCATTTCAAATACAAGGGAATTTTAGGAGACATGTATTAGTTAACCCTCTAAGCATTATGAATGTAAAATCTCATACGGAAGGGTGGCTTTTGTTTTCATTACACATGAAAATTTCTGTCAGCCTTTAATGTATCCGATTTTAGGGTTTGATATATATTGAAAGAAAAGGAATCAATGTACAAAATGAGAGTCATTTTTAATTATAATAAAAAAAATACCATTTATTCATGACACTTTAAGGAACTCTGAAATTCCAGGAGTAAACACATAATGCTCGGAAGATTAATAAAAAATTTTTTCCAATCTTTACATTACTTTTAATATAGCCTTAATAATTGCTATGAAGAAAAGAAGGCTAATCTTTGGAATATGGTAACAGGTAGTTTGGCGACATTTTGATAGGCGATAAAGGCTACTACCTAGGACTTTGGAAATAATGTGAGAAGTACTCAGTTCCGATTACACATTATTTTGTGTGAGGGAAATGAGAGATCATGAGATATGTCAAGTGACATTTATGGACGAATTACAGTTCTTTTAATCAGAAAAAGGGGGAGGGAAATTTGGAAAAATATCTGCAGTAGTTTATAGCATTTTGTATTTAGCTTCATTGTGTGTTGTGTGAAAGAGTGTTGATTAATTTTTGGATCCCATGGTGCTATCTAAAGTGAATTCTAAATTTTTATTGTGTTTATCTGATAATCCAAAAGAATTGCTTGAATGGTGTATGAGTGTAGGATTAATTATGGATAAGTATGAATCTCCAACATGTGGGAATGAAATGAGATTGTGTGAAAGGAAGGATATTACAGATAAGTTTGAATGGCGGTGAAAGAAATCTGGTGAAAATGGACATTTTGCAAAACGGAGTGTAAGGAAGGGTATGTGGTTTACTGAAAGTCGTTTGAGTATGGGTGACATTTTATTAATTACTTATTACTGGGTGAATATACTGCCAGTTGACTACTGGATTATTGAATCTATAAGAAAAGTTTATCCGCCATGCAATCAAGATTCTGAAGAAGATTAGGTAAGTTAGTATTTTTAATCATTTGAGGATATTATTTTTATGCATGTAAGGAATAAATAAATTAATATGGTATTATTGGAAAATTGTTATTAGCAATGAATTAGTTTAAAGTAATTAGGATTGTAAGCTAATTTTTATTAATTTAATGTATGTGCTTATTTATATTTTAAGTAGTGTTTTTTAATTTAATTATATTTTAATTTAATGATCGTGATTTTGTGAGTTATATGTTTGTAGTATTTTGGAATACATTTGAGTAGAAGTAAATTTGCAATGGAAAAAATTTAAATATTTGACACTAAGTATTTGGAACCATTTTTAATGTTTGCATTATAAATTTGTTGGTGACGTTTATAATAGATAATTTAGAGGGAAAAGTTTTTGGATTTATTTATTTTATACGTGGAAATTTTCATCCTTGGAAAGGGTATATACTTTTTCGCGATCAAGTAATTTCATATATGTGCTTTTTACCGAGTTTAAAGATTCACAAAATTTTTCTGCATTTTCATGCAAATTTTTCTAATTTATGAGAAAAAAGCAGTGTACATGGATAGTCAAGAGTGTGTGCAATGCCATTTTTGTGCAATTCTGGGATGTTTTTTTACGTAAAAATAAGTCAACGTGTACATGGTTACTGTGTATGTGCGATTCTGAAAAACGCGGCAAGGAGTTTGCGATTCTGTACATTTTCCCAATTTTGCACTTAATATTTGTCCTGATTAAGCAGTTTTTGTTCCATAAAATTTCTAGCATAAGTGTAATTCCGCTAGCAGATTGTCGGAAAAAGTGTTGAGTAAATAAAAAGAAAAGAAACATGTCTTTACTTCGTGAAGACAAAATGGCACCGAAAAAAAAAAGTAAAAGTTTGCTGTAGCAGAGTTGGTTGCCAAATTTTCGCCAAAAAATTGCCAAGTTACCATAATCCAAAGATTAACCGAAAAGAAATAAAGAAAGAAAAATCTAGAAGTAAATAATGTAATAAATATAATTTGAAAAGCCCTAAAGATGTGGTCAAATGCACACACAAAGGATCCAAAAACCATAGCTAAGCTATGGGGAATAAAACTTAACATTTTTTAAAAAATTAAAGCAAACTGTACTCTCATTACCTTTTCAAAAATAACAATTAACATGTTCCACATAAGGTTTATTTATAAAAGTTTTTGTTATTTGCATTGTTTTATTTGTAAAAATGCAAGTTTTTAATTGGATGTATGAATAACCCAAATGCATTGTAAATGATGGCCTTATTCAAAGATTTTATAAAAATTAATTCATAAAACTTTTACAAAACTACATATTTTTCAATATGCTTTATAAGCCTAAGAAAATCAGAAGATTTCTTTTTAACAACTTACAGACTTTGGTACAGAAATATTCCACTCTGAAATGCAGTATAAGCCACTGAAACCTTCCGAAGCATTGACAACATAAGATGTGTGCACACTTAGACATTCATCATAATTTCCCATCCATAAAAGATTTCCTAGAAATATTCCACTTGGAATTTTGCCATCTGCATCCAACACTATAAGGTAAGAAAAAATATTTAAAATAACTTTTGGTTGATCTTTACAATATGGTAACTGGTAGTTTGGCGACATTTTGGAGGCGATAAAGATTACTACCTGGGACTTTGGTAATAATGTGAGCAGTACTCAGTTCCGATTACGCATTATTTTGTGTGAGGGAAATGAGAGATCATGGGATATGTCATGTGATATTAATGGACGAATTACGGTTCTTTAATCAGAAAAGGGGGGAAATCGGGAAAAAATCTGGAAATTTTGTATTTGGCTTTATTCTGTGTTGTGTGAAGCAGTGTTCGTGAATTTTTGGATCCCATGGCCGTAACTAAAGTGAATTCGAAATGGGTATTTATGTATGTATTAATTTAATGTATGTGCTCATTTATATTTTAAGTAGTGTTTTTGAATTTAATTATATTTTAATTAAATGATAGTTATTTTGTGAATTTTATGTTTGTAGGAATTTGGTATACGTTTTAGTTGAAGTAAACGTGCATGGAAATAATTTTAAAAATCTGACACTAAGTATTTGTAATGGTTGCGGTATGAATTCGTTGGTGACGTGTATAATGTAATAGATGATTTAGAGGTAAAAGTTTTTGGATATTTTATTTATTTTATATGTGGAAATGTTCATATTTGGAAAAGGTAAATACTTTTTTCGCGATCAGGTAATTTCATATATGTTCTTTTTACCGGGTTTAAAGATTGAGAAAATTGTCATGTATTTTCGTGAAATTTTTCTAATTTATGAGAAAAAAGCAGTGTACATGGATATAGTGAAGAGTGTGCGCAATGCCATTTTTGTGCAATTCTGGGATGTTTTTTTAAGTAAAAATAAGTTGACGTGTACATGGTTTAGTGATATTTTAATTAAATGATAGTTATTTTGTGAATTTTATGTTTGTAGGAGTTTGGTACACGTTTAAGTTGAAGTAAACGTGCATGGAAATAATTTAAATATTTGATACTAAGTATTTGTAATGGTTGCGGTATGAATTCATTGGTGACGTGTATAATGTAATAGATGATTTAGAGGTAAAAGTTTTTGGATATTTTATTTATTTTATATGTGGAAATGTTCATATTTGGAAAGGGTAAATACTTTTTCGCGATCAGGTAATTTCATATATGTTCTTTTTACTGGGTTTAAAGATTGAGAAAATTGTCATGTATTTTCGTGAAATTTTTCTAATTTATGAGAAAAAAGCAGTGTACATGGATAGTCAAGAGTGTGCGCAATGCCATTTTTGTCCAATTCTGGGATGTTTTTTTAAGTAAAAATAAGTCAGCGTGTACATGGTTTATGTATATGTGTTATTTTGAAAAACGCGTAAGGAGTATGGTATTGTGCACTTTTTCCCAATTTTGCAGTGAATATTGTCATGGTTTATTAAGCAGTTTTGTTAGATAAAATTTCTAGCATAAGTGTAATTCGGCTAGTAGATTGTTGGAAGAAGTGTTCAGTAGATAAAAAGAAAAGAAACATGTCTTTACTTCGTGAAGACAAAATGGCGGCGGGAAAAAAAAATAGAGGGTTGCTGTAGGAGAGTTGGTCGCCAAAAAAACGCCAAGTTACCATAATGTAAAGATCAACCTAACTTTTTTAAATAATAATGATGAATTTTTAAAAGGCTAATATTATTTTATTAGTTTTTTAATTACTATAAAAAAGAAGTTTGGATGGAATAACAATTTGAATACACAAACAGCAATGTGGTTACATAGATAATAATGGACTTAAAGGACATCCTTTTATTAACTTATAATAATCCTGAAATCCTCTTTTTTAATTTCATTGTTTCAAATTTCTATTCTAAAACTAGTAAATGGCTTATAATAAAACTTACAGAAATGCATAATTTTGAAAAAGTGAAACTACAGTTTTTTTCAATAATATTCGTATCAAAATTGTCATTATCAGTAATAAAGCAATAGGACATCCCTCTAATGAGAAATTAAATAACTTCCTCATTCTTAATCTTACATCAGTAACCTAATCTTCTTTTCAAGTTTCCATTTGCTAAGAAAACATATAGTCTTTATATTTGTTTTTATCAAATTAAAAAAATATCAAATATTTTTTTTAATAAAGCAATAGGACATCCCTCTAATGAGAAATTAAATAACTTCCTCATTCTTAATCTTACATCAGTAACCTAATCTTCTTTTCAAGTTTCCATTTGCTAAGAAAACATATAGTCTTTATATTTGTTTTTATCACCAACTATAATATTGAAGTAATATGAAATGTACACCTGTAATTAACATGATGAACACTCCTGCCTCTTATACCAGTTTGATTCTACAATAATTGCTTCAATAATGTTTATGGAAAGCCATGCCTAAAGAACTATATCATATGCTCACAAAGGTTAAACTTATGCTCAGCATTATGCTGTGCCTGAAAAAAAAAACAGACTGTTTCAAGAAAGCATAAAACTGCTTATTATGAAATAAAAACTGTTAATGCACCAGTGGCTTCATTGTCACACATTTAAAAATATTTTATTAGTAAAATAAATAATGCCCCAGAATATCAAAGAAAATCTAATATAATCTTCATGCTCTATGTCCATCTCCACAATTTTTATTATATATTATTAAAGTATTACATTTAAGAAATTCATTACAAGTAGTTAATACATTAAATACCATTAAAATATATAAAGTTAAGGTGGATTTCGTGCAAAATATAGAATTCAAAACTGTCCTAAAAAAAGAAGAAAAGAAAGAAAAAGAGAAACAAAAAGGGGGGAAGAAAAGAAAATTTTTTTAATGCAAAAAGCATTTTTGATACAATCAAATTATTGATTTAAGGAATAACTGAATGATAGAAGCACAAATAAAAGTTTGCTTACATGGTAATACATATTTGAAAATATCAATCTGATCTTATGATCCTGAATTTAAATTAAAATGGTTTACATTTAATGTGTTACAACACATTCACATTTCCAACAAAGCAAAGATTATGAAAAGATTGGTACAAATTTTGCATAGTACTTATGAGTTCATACTAAATTAACTCTGATGAAGAAATATGGAGCTAAATATTACAAAACTGTTGGAAAACTACAAATTAAACTGTATATAAATATCTACACTTTTATGTGAAGATGTACAGAAAAACATTAAAAAAAAAAGGATCCTTATGTGTTTGATTTCATTAGTTCAAACTATTTTACTTTAGAATTCATAATATAGAACACAAATAAAAAAATATAAATGCTATTTTGACTTGAATAAATAAAAAAACTCAATCTTTCTCAGAAAAAAAATATTAAGCTATAAGGGTAGGATCTTCTAATTAATAAATCTAAAAACATAAATAAATAAATAAATAAAAATAAATAAAAAAATAACAGTTATAAAGATATATGAAGAAAAAATTTGTAAACATTTTCTATTTATATACAATGCATATCATTTTAGTAAACAAATAACATAATTTAATTATGAAGAATATTACATAGCACAGTATATAATAGAAAAATACAACATACATGTAAGACATTGGATAGAATTAACTCACATTAATTGTAATTACTAATATTTAAAGAAAACAATTAAAGCATGTTTTAATCCTATTTCTTTCATATTTTCAAAGCATGAATAATTATAAATTAAGCATACAACTACGAAGGAAAATGATAAATATATAGTTACTTTTTTATAACTGAAAATGAGAATGAATATTATTAATAAAACTTGAACTTAGTTTCTTGTTAACTGTTGAATAATACTGAATCATACCCAACAAAGTGGTTCCAAAGATCTTTCGTAAACCAGAAATAAAAATCATGCTTTACAAAACGTAACAGACAAATTTACCTACTTTGAAGGGCAGGATGAGATGTCAGATGACTTAAGACAAACATAATATCTTCAAAACATTTGCTATGATTATTAGAGCCAAATCCTTGATTCTGTTGAATAAAATTACTGTTACCAACTTTTTCTCCAAATGTCATCAACTGCATTATATCAACACTTTTAGTCAGATTGGATTTTAAAGGTATTTCTTGTAAACGCACAGCATTTTGAGCAAAAGCATTAAAAAAGCGTAGAGAACTGGAAGCGGTACGATTTGCATTAATACTTTGCGATAATGCATACAAAATCAAACAAAAACTGACATGTTTCATGACTAGCAAAATTTTTATGCAGCACCATAAATGAAGCAAAAAGTTTCCAATTGTAAAACCTTTGGAGTTAGGATTCGCGCGCAGCAGTTCTGAGCAACATGTTAAGTGAATGTTTCTCTGATCTTTTAATGAGGAAAACATCGAGGTAAATTTCGAAATATTTCAAATTAAGAGCGACAGTGTCAAGGTGAAAGGTAGACGGAACTGCCATTTATGACGTTTTATGCGAAAAGAAAAGATGCTCTTTCCTGGAATTCTTCAAATGACCTTATAAGAAGGAAGAAAAAGGAAAACAAGGATACCACGTAACTGAGAAAAGTTGAAAACGCCGCTAACAGACAAAGTAGACAGATGTCTTGTTTTGCACCCAATAAATCTTTCTGCTCGCAGAACAAAAAATCACCTTAGGTGCAGTGTTGCCAGATTATTTTCAACTAAAGTAGCAGAAGTAGACTTTCAACAATTTTCTAAGTCGATCCACCAAACCTCAAACACTTGACTCCACCAAAGAGCTCAGCGGGGGGTTAATGATAAGATAGAGCTCTTTTGATTGTTATATTGAAAAGATGAATGTGAAAAGTGAATTGATGCAATGTTAAAAGTAAATATGAAGGATTTAAGACCTAGACTGATTAAATAAATTCATTTTCGAAAAATGCAAAACGAAAAGAGAATAAATAATTTGTTCTAAGTATTTATGAAGTTTTCGAAATTCTGGTAGTAACTGACCAAAAGGCAATCTTCTGACAGCTTGATGCACAACGGGAAAACGGAATTAAATAAGGAGAAAATTTTTAATTTTTTTAAATATATTCTTAACAGATAAAAAGAAATTTTAACTAAGGCTAATTAAAAAGAAAATAGAGAAAATTGGGAGAGCGGGAAGAGGTCAGTCACTCCGTTTCTTGCTCGCAACGTTTTTTCAAAAACGCCGCTCATTGCAAAAGCAAAACACAAATTCTGCGGTTATGGAGAAAATTCAAAACGAGATTTACAAAAAATGTTTTCCACTCCCAAGTAAGAGCTAACGATGCTCATTTTGAGCAAGCCAGTGCCGTTTTCTCGAATTTTCCCTCCTTCTGTCGTTTTGATGAAAATGATAACTGCGTTCTAAGCTAAAAATATGCTTCTGCTATGCAGACATAAATTATTGGTGATTGCATACCAGTAATATAAATCCCCCAAAATATGCAATTTACTAAATTGGTTGACTTATATTAATTAACAAAATATAATTATTACTTAATTTTAAAACACTTGTAAGAGTTTTGAGAAAACTGAATTGGGGGGGGAAGAAAGAATATTCTTGCATATGACAAATAAGTGAAGTATTTATTTTAAATGTGTAGAAAGCACATAGCGGACATCCAATATTGTAGTGTTTATTCATTTTAGAATCTAGGGAATACCGCATCTATCTTAAGAATATTTTCTGTTATGAGCCACAAGATGGTCAAAGAAAAACGTTTTATCTGCAGCAGTGCTGGATTAACCAGTGGGCTCGTAGTATTAGAATTCGTATAAGTTCGCCTCAGTATTAGAAAAAAAAATATATATATAAATATAATATTAAATTTCAAAACTGAAAAAGATATGTTAATAATTTTTTAATAATATATACATTATTTGTGGTTTTATTTTTACGTACAAAAGTTAACGCCATCATAATGATTCATAAACAATTAAAACTGGATCCGATGGTACATAGTGAGCCGATTTGTAGTGGGCATGCACTATGTATATTGTGGCTTATATTTATTTTTGAGCATTTCTGGTTTTGAGTTTTATTTCCAAATATCAGTTATTAAAGATTTGTGAAATGACCTTATGTTTCTTTCATATATACTTATGTTTCTTTCATATATACTTTTGATCATCTTTTTTACGTTCTGCTTGTTTTAGAAAAAGTAATTGAAAATGTTTTTGTTAAAAAAAGTAATTTATTCAAAACACTCTGACAACGAACTCACTTAAGTATTCGGACACTTAGAACAAACAGTTTACATTTAACAAAAACATAAAAATAAACGGACTATTCAATATTTCTTTAAATATCCGTGAACTAAAATTACACTTTTCATACTCTTTCGCATGGACCCAACCAATATTTTCATGTAAAAATGCTCCATTTGGGTCCATTACTTTTAGTATAGCTTTCGAAGAAACATCGTGTTTCTTTATTCTTTTTTCACAACTCACTCCATAGAATGTTAGTTGACAGAATTTAAGTCGGAAGAATTTGGATGAGTTTTAATAACTTTGGAACAGTTGCATAATAATCACAAGCAAACAGTTTGGCCTTTATGTTTAGGATTGTTATCCTGGGCAGAACTTGAAGGTAATTTGCATTTCAAGTTTTCTTGCATGTTCTTTTATGTTTTCATTAAATATATTTATTTATTTATAATGATCCGCATTTATAGAAACTAAATTTCCCGTTTCACAGGCAGCAGAGCATCCCTAAATAATTATACCTCCAGTTTTTCTGGCATGCACAACATAATGTTGATCACATTTAAGTGGCATGTAATTTCTCTGTGATCATCAGCTTCAATTAGGAGAATTTTTAGAAATTCATCTTTGATTCTGGCTGCAAAAGTAATGTTATCACTAAGTTCCTTAACAAATTCACTGAATTTTAGCAGTGGCATCGCCACAATCAGTTTAATTCAGGGTTCTTCTGGAATATCCTTAGCAACAATTTCTATATCATTATTTACAATAATCTCATTAGTAACATTTTTAGGATTGGTTACATTATCATTATCCAAAGCAGAAAATTTAGTTCTAGTATATATATATCACTGTTGTAATTTAACATTTTAGCAGGGCTTGTAGTTCTCCGTGGGAAGACTAAGCCTTCAAGATCCATGAGTTTTTCGAGCCACTTTTTTGCCAGGTCGCTAACTGCGTGTATTATTATCCGAATAAGTTAAATCTTTTTTTCACATCATTTGCATAGATTTGATAAATTAACATGCCTAGAAATTTTAGCACTTACAGCTGCATTCGAATTTTTCCTAGAATCAGCAACATTCTGAATTTTACCCCACTTATCAATATCAGTGAGCTTTTAGTGGCGTTTAGTTTTAGTTTTTCGAGTGGCAATAGTCTCGCGCGTTGCCGATAAAAATGCTTTAGTTCGAAAAGTATTGCTACTGCTCGCTTTCAAATCGTAGAGTTTGTTATTCAAAAATTTGTTAAGTTTTACAAAAATCTCTCTATATAAAGAAGAATGCCTTTGTTTGTTTGTTCGTTTTATTGATTTCTGATCATTTATGATCAAATTTTGTTACATTTAATCTACTAAAATTGAATATAGGTGATATATTGGAAGGAACTTGAGCTTATTTTGGATGAAACTTGAACTTTTACGACCATTTGAATAGGAAGACGAAAATGATTAAAAACTGCGTGCCTTTGTTGCTGATATAATGAGAAAGACTTAGTTTATTTTTCTATCGAAATTTTTCATGTAGGTTCCATATCGCATTAGGCTAAAATATGTATGACTATGAATCGTAATTTTTGCATCGTTATTAGAGAAGGATTACAGCGGTATCGTTCCCTTTGTTGTTAGATACATTACTCTCAATCTAATTTAACTGGCATCGGGTACTTCCTCTGGTTTAAGATAAAGAATGTAATAATAATTTACAATAATAAACAACTGATTATTGTTATTTCAGTAGAAAATAGAAAGTACGCGTAGAGTAAATGCGAGAATACTAAATCTATGGAGAAGACATTGTGACGCTACACGCTTAGTCCCACCCATTTATAGACGTCACTTAGTTCCGCCTTCACAACTTTGTTTATGCAGCGTATTCTGAGCTTTTAACCCAGAATTTTTGTTACAATATGCATCACTGGAAATTTCAGCGCTGTTATTTTCAACACCATTAGCAACATCAGGATTTTTCTTAGAATTAATAATACTGGAATTTTTATCAGAATTAAGAATTTTAAAGCCCATGAATCCAGAGTAGATTATTATATGCCCGAAAATTTCCACTACCTTTCAATATTTTAATCCTGTCTTGCATGAAATTGCAAATCCAATGAGGGTTTTTCTTTACGGTCATCACACACATTCCGAATACAATCGATACGGTTCTGCAGATTTCTCTGGATTCTTAGCGCATTTAGAAAAACCACTTTATCATCATTTTTATTCAATAAATCTTTCAGAACTTGATGTATTTCAGCGAAAGAATAATCAATACCACAGTCCAAAATATCAATATCATCTTCATAGTCACTATCCATATTATTCACTTTCGGCAGCTAAATACACAGTTCGAACGTAAACTTCAAAAGCTTAACACAATTCGAAATATTCCTCGATAATGAAAAATCACGTGGTTGCTAGAAAGCCAACTAAATCTCAGTTTCAAGAAAGTCTCGGTTTTAAGCAGATTTAAAAATTATAAGAAATTCACTAAGGCAGGTAAAGCTAAGGTCTTTAGCAATGCTTGCTATAGAAAAAACATTCTCTCATACACCTAGACTACTAAAATATTACTAACCAATATTCTGTTTAAAATAAAAATCTGAAAACGAAAAATTTTAAGCTTTTCAAACGATTTTTCGTCCCTTGGATTTCTAGATGATAGTTGCGTGTAAGGTTGGTCTCTGAGAGACCGCGTTAACGCGCTCTGACGTGTTCGTTACTATCGCGTTTGACGCATAGGTTTGGTCATTGTTGGTTATGCATTAAGTTGGAAGTATTCAGCCATTTGACACAACACCAACAAAATATCCTAAAAGTATTAGAAGTGTAAAAGGATGTTCAATAAGCTTCTCGTTTTTGATTCTGGAGGACAAAAATGACTAAGCAAAATTTTAGCGTCGAATTTAAGTTCATGCGCATAACTTTATTAAAATACTAACACGAGTTATTAATGTTAGATTGCTACGAAAAGAAGAAATATTAGAGTTTATAAAGGAAATAGTGGCATCAATATTTCTTCACCTCTTAAAACATTTGCAATAAATCCAAATTTTTCCTTGTTTATCATATGATTTGCATCACTTAAAATTCAAACAGATTTATAGCTGTGATGCCAGTGAGTACTTTTTGTTTGAGTTTTAAATTTAGGTCAATTTTTCTTAAAGCTTTCTAAAAATATATTATGTAAAATTGAGAACATTTACGTTTAAAATTTGGGGAATAATTTAGTTTCTCTGTCAAATTGCCAAATAAGCTAAAAATAAATTTAAAGAGTAATAAAATTTACTTTGCGTATTTATTTTCGGAACTGTTTTAAGCTAATATTTTTTTTCATTCAAAATTCAAATAATTTTTTCTTAAAAATTATAGTTAATGAAAAATCCTATATTTGGTGAAGTGTATGAAAATTAGCAATAAAAATGGCTGGTGCAAATATGCATACTATTAGGATTTAGGAAACATCACTAGGAAAGACATTAAAAATTAGGCATTTTAAATTAGCAAAAGTCAAACTTAGACTGGCATTCTCTCTTGAAAACAAAATTAGTTTCATAGCCTCTACAATCCTGGATTTGCGTTGCTTTTACACGGAATTCCAAATTAAAACTGAATTTTACTTAATTTTAAAATTCAGATTTGATTAATTCTGTTTAATATGCAATTTATTAATCTGAATACTATCATTCACAGCTCATGAATTACATCTAATGATCCTTCAATAAGTATTACCCATATTCCTTTAAACAATTACTGATGTCATTTCTGAGTAATTCTTAATGTTGATTGAAAATTACTCTATCCTGTTTTACGGTTGTATTGCAATGCGTTCAAATCTTTCTTCATAAACAGCCGCTAAGCGTATGTGTTAAACATTAATGCTGCTCATGAAACTTCTTATAAAGAGAATACTGAAGATGAATATGGGATTGAATAATATGATACGAATTTTAAAATGAAAAATGTAAACATTATTATTTAATATATAATTTTTATGATAGTCCATTGCTGATAATTGTTTACTTGAAACAGATGTACAGCGGCAAACTGCAAGAAATAAGGTGGTAGAATATGCCACAATCAAAATTGAAATTTACATCGTTCGCTGCAACGATATCAGAAGATTGGTGTAACGAAAGAAGTAAATAAATGAAACAGCCTGTTTATGAACCGACATCACAAATTAAAGTTTAAAATTTGAGATTAGTTTTAGAAAAAGTACAAAAATAATCTGTATTTCTATCAGTCCATCCCCTACAGGGAGAAGTAGTGCAAAAAATTGCAAAATTATAGCATCAAAAACATACACAAAATCTAAAAGACAGTGAAATAATAGGAAATTAAAAAAGAATACTTTGAGTACGTTGAGTCCAAAAAACAAAACTTGTAAAAATAATAAGCCAATACTCGAAAATAAAACCACATGAAAAATTTTTAATCCAAAATTTGAAAAACAAATATGAAAATTTTGAAAACATAGAGACCGGGTTAAAAAATAATAGCATAATTCATAAACGATCAATAAATCTGAAAAATCTAGTAAAGATTTAACATTTTAGTGGACCACATTTAAAAACCTGTAAAACAGAGTATTCACATAAAAAAATAATAAAAAATTTGATCTAAAATATAATAAAAAAAAAATAGAGGAATAAGTTCCTAAATTCTGTAACACAAGAACAACAAAATTTTGAAATGGAAAAATGCATTAATGCATAAGCAACAAACGCTAAAGCAATAGGTACTAAAAGGGAAATTAAAATATACAATATACATATGAGGTAGAGGTTTACCTCGCCGAATGCAAATAGGCAGTCAAAACGAGCACAAAATGAAATCCCGCAGCCACACCACAATGCCTTTAAAAGGAACATACTGGACCTACGCATCAGCTCACAAGCAGCGATAAATACGTGTAATCCGAGGTAGCCAAAGAAGAAAGCATGAGCTGAAGACGCCAACTGCAGGATGAAATGCGTTGGAGGGTTGTCGGAATGTTATAAGCTGGTGCAAGACAATCCGCTGTTCGAGAGAACGAAAAGTGCATCGTAGTGTCATCAATAGGCCGTGTAATCGTTACCAAAGAGATTAGAAACCATGTAGAAGACGTGGGTCTGGACGCCGGAGAATTACCACAACTGCAGACGATCGCTTCCTGTTGCTACGTGCAAGACGCCGTAGATCAATAATAGCACAAGAGCTGACGTTCCCATCTCTTTGCTGCTGAAGGACGGACCGTATCCCGCCAAACTATGTCACGTTGACTGCATGTATCCCATGCAGAATGTAGTCCCACAGCATGGGTTCCATTCATGCAGTCCCATACAACATGTGGGGGACATTCTGACTGCCCGAAGCCCTGTGATTTGTGTTCCTTTGTCCCCATCCCATGTCAGTGTGCGGTTGAATTGGACCCATGAATCTCGTAGTTCGACACTAGCGCAGTGCTGCCACGTACTCTTTACAGATGAGTTTCGGTTACCATATAGATTGTCGCAATGATATAGCGAGAGCCAGGGACATAATATCGGGGCCAAATATCGTCTAAAGAGAGAAGGAGGCTTACTTGTATGGGCTCGGATAACAAAGAACGTTCTCACTGAACGGCCACTACGTCATTTCTGGTGGTTTTATCGCAGTTATTCGGTATCGCGACGAAATTCTACATCCACTTGTACATCTTTTTATCGCTTCAATGGGTACGCGATATTTATGGACGATAAAGCAGGGATTAGAACCATTCCACATCCGCCGTGGCCTGCTAGATCGACGGAATGTGTGGAGCATGTTGGGATGACGGATGTGCTGCTAGACACCCTCCACAAGCTCCGACATGCATTACTAAAGGAATGGAAGCTACTGCCACAGCAAGCGATCAATGATGCTATTGTCAGCTTGTCTCGCCATTGTTAGACAAACATATTAGCTAGAGAGTTTTGTGATGGTGTGAAATTGGTACTAAAAGATATATACTCTAAGCGTCTAAGAGGATATCACATGTGCCCAATAATTGCTGGCCTGCACTAAAATTAGTACCTTGCGCGTGTTAACCCTAGAAAAAGAAATAAATACAACATTTCACTTACCCGTTTCAGGTATAGTGCCCTTCAAAAAATACACATACTTTGCTTGTTTCACACATACGTATTTTTACCAAATTGGTTTAGTTAATTACTGACGAATAAATTTAGTTGCACTCTTGATTAAAAATACATCTAAGAGCATTATGACTGCATTAACTGCTTGTGCAACCACCACGGGCATGAAAATGGTTTCTGAAGTTAATCTGTCGCCATTGTTCATTATTTCTCTCTGGAATCACTTACTGTCTCACACTTGTATTCTTGATGTTACTCTGTTCACACTGTCGTTTATTTTTGTAAAAGAGATCAGCTGAGATGATTTTTATACCGTCTATTATTTCTAACATTGGATATATCTCAGCTGCTCACATTTTACGAATATAGGCGTCATGTGCTTCAGTTACCACGATGACGGATGTGCTGCACAAGTGTTGCAGAAGAAAAAAAAATTCAGGAAAATTTAGGAATATGCGGAGTTAATCTTTTTTCTCGTCCTATGCATCTCATGCTTTCTTTAAGCATCAGCTACGTCGTACACCTATTAACACTTCATTACGGGAAGAGCGGGGCTAAAACAAAGAACGTTTATGTTCTTTGGCTGAAACCCTATTCTGCCGTTCGCCGTCGTAATTTATTCCCGCGTGCAGCTATTCGATGACGATTCAACGTGCTATTAAATGAATGACAATTAAATCCATCAGTGAGAAAATTGTGCCCTCACAGGTATCAATATTCAATGTAAACATCAGGCTAATAGTTATTAGCTTGATGTTTACATTGAACATTCTTCTGATCCATTTGATCTTTCGCAATGTGATGGTTAATACATGCTTTTATGTAGTCTTTGCTTTATTGTTTGCTGTATGGTCTAGTAATGCCACACCAGTTTATTGGATTAGTATCACGCACATCCGTTAAATAGTTTCTGTTTTATTCCGTGTTTTGCATTTATCGCTTAATTTTTGAGTGGAAGTGTATATTCGCCTGTATAGTGACAAGTAAGCCAAAATGAGTTAAGTAATGAAATTATATAAAAATAAATTTTAAACTGATTAAACTCAATAAGAAGAATTAGAAACACTTCTATTGTAACAAAGTATGTTGCAGTAGAAATGAAAAACTTAAAAACGGAAAAAAACATCGAATTATCTGGATTAGGAATCTAAAACAACAACTAATGCAATTTATGTAAATGATTGTAATATATATGTACGCATACATACATATTTATATAACCAAAATATGTATTTTTGAGCACTTGCCATGAGATATGCTTTCACATCGTTAAATTTAGATAGATTCTGAAATTAAATTTGATTTTATATCAATAACAAAAAACATTTAATAAAACGCTTATTTGTAAAGAATTGACATCGGAATAGAATTTAAAAAAAAATTACATAATTGAACCTGCATCATCATAAATACCGTATCGGAAAATTTTGCCCTATTGCATGCATTAATTTATTTAGTAATTTTATACGGATGAAATCAAAAGAGGAGAAAAATTTGCTCAAATGCTGCCGAACTTGAGTTTTAACTATATTACATACTTCATATCAACTTTCAGGAAAGATATATTGCTTTCTATCATATAAAATTTAATGTATTGCAAATGACATTGTGTTATAATAAGATTTTAGAAGTGGTGTTTCCTCAACACGATTGGTAAGTTTCTTTCATAGAGGAAAAAATCGGCAAGAAGAAATTAATTTTCTACGTACTTCATATTAATATAGTACATTGCAAAGACATTATTTTATTCTAGCTAATTATTTTTAATCTGGGAAACATTCCCTTCCCTTCTGATTTCAGTTTCCTGCCAAAATTTAAATTTTAATGACGTAATAATAATGGATGCAAAATCGAAGTGAGTTCGGAATCCGTATTTAAGCAGTGGTTTTAAGAGTAGTAGTAAATGAGTTAATTCCAAATTTATGCCGTGTGTTTGAAATAGCCTTGTACGTAAATAGTTGGTGCTCTTTAGATTATATTGATATTTTAGGTTGACCTTTGCTGTGCGTAGCCGATTTAGCGGTTTAGATAAATAAGGAACCAGTAGTGTAGCCCATCTTATTTTATTGTGATTTGACATTTTTATTTTCTGTTAAGGCCCGTTCCCACTGGGGTTTATATGAGCTAACGAACACAACTAACGTAGTCGACCCATCCCCAAAACCAATTTTTCCCCATAGAGCAGCAAGGTGAAAAATCTGAACTGCAGGCACAGCGGAGCTAGTCGACACAGGGAACTGACTCCGTTAGCTCAGATAAACCCCAGTGGGAACGGCGCTTTAGAGTTACTTAGCCACAAGTGGTGGTAAATTGGGAGCACCGAGTAAGTGCATTTTTATTTAGTTCAAATAAAAAGGTTATTTAAACCTTTTTCTGCAGTATCTGTTCTTCAAGGACATAGCGAGAATTCGCTACTAAGTCATTTTAGTTAGGGTCTACAGTGCATGATACCAAAACATTATAGGAGACTCTAAAACATAACTAATCAATAACGGTACTACGTAACTAAGCATTTAAAATATTTCCGTTATATGTATGGATGAAGATAAGAAGTAAAACAAAATAGTGCATAAACTGAGGCATATTTAAAACTAAACTGGGATATGTTTGAAACATTGAACTGATCTTAAAACCAATATTCTTATCTACAAATTTAAAAAAAAAAATAATTTAGGAAATCACAAATTGCAACGATAGACTTTTTATTGGGCCAAAATGGTTAACAGGAAAAACATTCAATGAAATACCGCAACAGTAAATGCATGACATGTTTGCCCCACTTTTGACTGAATTTGGGGGAAAATTAATTATTTGCATTTCAACGTAGAAATAAAAAAAATGCTTAGTTTCAAATAAAAAAAAAGTTTTATTAATAATTTTATCCCTTTAGCAGCCCCCTTGGGTGCATTACTGTTCATTTCTTCCAATTTCTTTTCCTTTTGGTTCGATTTCTTTTCAGTTTTTTCCTAATGCCCTGGAAAAAAACCGACCCAGGCTGAAACGAGCATCAGGAAAATTCGACATCATTAACAAAAGCACGTGTAGATCCAGAAACACTATACCTCCTCAACAACATGGAACTAGGATTTATAAAAAGCTTTGCTGAGTTAATGTTACAGGCTAAATTTTGCGTTTCTGTAAAACGAATTTCTTCTCTTAAGCAACGGTAAAATTAAGCAAGGTATTTTCATTGACTTACAGAGTTATTAGTTAAATCCTGGTGAATAAACGAATACTTTTTGAACCAGAAGGAAGAGGCCTTTTATCTGAATATCATTATTCAGCTTTGCTTTCTCTAGATTTCTATTTTTATCTTATTTTGATGCATACTTTACTGATTTGAGTATCATATTAAATTTTGAATCTTTTTTCTTAGCTTGTGCGCTTCTTCTTGTTCAAAGTATTAAACAATTGCCATAGTTTGTTCAGTTGTTTCGAAGACGATAATTTTTTTTTCTATTTTAACAATACTTTTCTCGTTTGAAACAGCCCAAGAAAGATGACAAGCGAGATCAACTGAGAAAGCAACTAGAAGAGAAGCTCTTACAAGAAGGTAAAACCATTTTCTTCATTAATTGTGTGCTAGTCAACATAAAACTGATTTGATTAATTAAAAAACGATTGAAAGCATAATATTATTTTAAATATATCTCTAAACGTCGATATGTATTTCAATATTAGTTATATTTAAATAACTATTATGAAATTTAGTTATAATAAATTAAAATTTTATTTCAATATTAGTTAGATATTTTACACAGGAGAAGCAAAATCTTTATGCTTTCAATTTTCTTGAAAATCTTATAGCATTAAATTTCAGGAAACATATTTTAAAATGAAAAATTCAGAAATATGTATATTTCAAACCGAGGCTAAGTGTATGGTTAAGGGAGCATTCCAATATTTTTCTTCAAAAGATCTTCACAGACCTTTCTCATGAAATCTTGCTATTTTCAATTTATTCCAGTATAGTGGCATTAACATAACATAATAAATTAAAGTACAATAAATCTTTGATCAGAAGTTGAAGGGTACCATAATTCACTTTCTTCGTTGTTCAGGCTGCGACTTACCATCCCGTCTGTTAAAGGAATTAGACAAGGTTTAAACAAACTTTTTTATTTGAAATTTTGAACTTGACAGATACATGAGTGCTAACGGAATTTATCTCTGGAGATTGCGGGATTCAACTAAAATGAAATGTAGTTTAGTTTAAAAATACTTTAACTCTGGAGATTCAAACATGCAAAAGCCTAAAAAGCATTGGCTCAATTAAATTCCTCCAGCAAACTCGGCTAGAAATTAAACTAACACTAGTCTAGAGTAACTTAACAGAGCTGGAGAAGAAACAACGTAATGGTCAACATCGCTGCCAAAGTTCTTTCGCAATAAAAATAAAAATAGAAAAAAAATCTGAAACTTTTCAGATTTTAACGATTGCCAGAAAGGGTTTGTTAAAGCTGTTTACGCTCTCCCTGAACTCGCAGTCTACCCATCTGCTATTGCACTGAATCATGCTAACCCCCCCTTTTTTTTTGCTTGGTTGCTTGTCTTTTTAGCTTTATTATTAAGCATCGTTTTCTTCACACTTAAGCCGTATACAATTAATTCAGCAACAAAAATCACGAAAGTTTCAACAGCAGCATATGTTTAGAATTCTCAATGTAGTATTAAGTGTTGGCATATATTTTTATACTTTTTTAAAAATTTTTCCTCATTTCATCATATGAATGTTTAGGTTTCTTAGTAAGGTAGCTTACAAAACTTTTTTTTGACTTTTTATTATTAACGTTTTGTGTATTAACTGTATTTATTAAACGTCACGTTCTTCACATTTACAGCACACAAAATTCAATTAAACAGCAAACTCACAAAGAAACAGAAAAATTTTAGAATTTCCGATAGCGTCTCGCACGCTGGAGATTAAAATGTTTCATTCCGCACAGTATCGCCATTCCTCGATTTCAAATCGTTGAGGCTGTTAATTAAAAATTCATTCCAGTTTAAAAAATATGAAATAGAGAATAACAAAATCTTCACCGTCATTCGAAGATACTGAATATTTTTAGTTAGATAGACTGAAACATAAATATCTTACAATTTGCCGAATGGCCGAACAGACTTGATTTTGCCAAATAGGCTCGAATAAAAAGTGAAATGATACATTTGTAGTGATTCGACGCAAAATACCATTTCGAGACTAATACTTCCTTTTGGGTTAAAAATATAAAAGAAAAGTAATATGTTATTAATAATATAAATTTAATTCACCATTCCTTCATTTGAAAAAGCAATAATCAAAACTCAACTTTATGGTCCATAATAGCAACTTTGTTTTCAGCTTTCTAAAGAGAAATACGAGGCTTTTTATGCACTGAAATAACATAAATTCGGAGTAGGTTGTAAGCTAAAATAATTTCGAAGTAATTTAAAATTAGTAATTAAAATTTCTGAGAATTACAGCTTTTCAAATATACTCGAATTTACCACAGGTTTTATTTTAGTTAAACGTTTAATTTCTATATATTCGCAAGTAAAAATTTAACGCAAATGAAAATAATGTGGTAGTAAAATCATAAAATGGGTTTACATGTGCAGTTACATGTGCAATCTGCCTTCAGATTACTCTTATATATTAGGAGGCATTAAGCCTACAATTAAAAACATAATTTAATTTAATTTAAATTAATCAATTAATTTTACTTTAAATATTAAAAATAATTTAAAAAAAAATTTAATTTAGATCATGCATTTTGTTACGCTAAAAATTAGTCTGTTTTGGAGAAAATCCATTCAAGAAGTGGGCACCCGCTTCCCCACATTCAGGGCTGGCTATTTTCTTGCGTTTCACAGTATAAGAATTTATGTGGAAACATTATTAGAGTTTTGTTAAGATACCAATTATCTTATTATTTGACCTATACAGTAACTTTCACTTACCATTGATGCACATTAGCGTGAGTACTAATGCCTCTCTAGCTATTGGTATTATTGTAATACAATAACACGTCGAACAAGTATTAATTTAGAAGTCAAACAACAAAAACAGACGGCGCCAGTAGCTTAACACCTGTGCAGTCTTTCTTATCTTATGTTATCTACTCACTGTATCTTATCTAGTTCATTTGCGCTTTTGCAGCTGACCATGATGGTTCAGAAAAACCATCGAAACTACTACTGAAATCGATTTTACAGGTTTCGATACTAGTGACCTGTGAAAATTTGAAAACATAACGTTTATTTTTCTTATTTGACCTCTAAATTAATATTGGTATTATGTTTAACATTTTCATAAAAATCCACAATAACTAAATTAACACTAACTAGGCGTAAATATTAGCGATGGCACCGACAGAGAAGATTAGACTTTGTTACTGCAATACTAGAATATGAGGTTCAATCACTGAAGAACTGAGGCTTCTTATCTTTTGGCCAAAAAACATATTCCTGGCTGAAAGGAGAAAAATTTGCGAATTTTACTGTAAGAAATGTCTCTGTAGTGGATGTACGTGTTCCCTAAACACAAAAAAATATTCCTACTTACTATTGGATGAGTGCATTCTTGATTTGACGGTTTAAGCATTGAATTAGTGAGCAGCAGTTCTTTGGTTTGATTCTAGTTGGTGAATTCAGCACATCGGGGTGAACGATATTCTCTTCAGTAGATAGCGCCAGTAGCAATATATCGCACAGTCAACCGTGCACAGCTAGCGGCTTTAAGATATGTAGAGGAAAAATTTCATTTCAGAGTTTTATTTTCTTCCATGATGAAACATATTTTAAGTTTTAGGGTATTGACTGATTTCTTATTACATGACTGTTGGGATTTTGGTATGTATTGAGAAGGAAACATTCTTCACTTACGTAACTGGAAATCGAAAGTTGGGAAGATTTTGTTTTCGGTGGTGTTCATTTGATATATTGGTGTAGCTTAAATTCAACGTATTCTGACAATAGCTAATTAGCTGATAAAATCAATTAAAGCATTTGTTTTAATATATACTATAATCTGCATACATCTACTGATCACTGAATCCTCTATTTCAGAAAACTAAGAACTGAGTTTAGTTGTAAAAACTGTGTAAAGAAGATTCCATCTGCACTGTGTTAAATCTATCAAATTGGAAACAGATTTAAATTTATTACTCTCTGTGAAAATTTGTGCGTTGTCTCTTTTGATGCTATTCATGGTTTTAAAGTTGTTATCTAACTGTTCTGTAGCTTTCAACATGTGCTCGTTTTTAATAAGCCATGCTTAAGAAGTTCTAATCCTCAAGCTTTTGGAAAACTACTAAATAGAGAGTGCCTAGTAAGTGCCAAGAACAATCAAGTAACAGAGAAATTTCACGAATAACACTTAAATCTTTAAAGCAAATTTATTCTACACATGGAAGTTAGTAACGAAACGTGAAACTGATTCATTATATATTCATTCAAAGTATTTTGAAATAAATAACCTACAAGTGGATCAATGCTTTACTTTAACGCAATTAAGATACTAATAAATCAAATGTATATAAATTAATTTATTCTAACGTTGGTTCGTACAATCATTTATTCTAACTTTGTTTCGTTCAATTATTATAAATCGTAAAAGATAGATTTTTTTTCTTTATTTGTAAATAACATTACTAAATAGATAACACTTATAAATAACATTACTATAGTATTTCATGTTTAATCTTAATATGTTAAATTATTGTTTATTGCAGAGCTTGCTCGAAAAGAACAGGAAGAAGAAAAACTACGTCTTGAAGAAGAAAAACGGCAAAAAGAAGAGGAGGAACGCATTCGATTACAGGTATACAAAGTTCATTCTTACTTTCTAAAGCATAACCTGTGAAAATTGATCTTGTAGATACAGGTATTAAATAAGTCTGTAACTATGTTTAGCACTTTTTATAGAAACTAGTATATTGTTGATGTAGGGAATTTTTTTGGCGGGAAAACCAAAACAAAGAAGCGAAAATTTAGTTCATATGGCTCTTCTTCTTTAGGTAGAAGAAATGAACTTCAATAATAAAAAAACCCCTCAAAATATATTAAAGTAATCGCTATATATCTCTATCTATCTATCTTTACTTCAAAAGAATAAAGTAAAGTTAAATTTAGTTTTAAATAATTCTCTTGCGACATTACGAATAGAGCATGCTTGTTAAATATATATATGTGTGTGTGTGTGTTTGTGTAAGGTAAAAAATATGTAATCAGAATTATAATTTAAATTAGCAATGTCCCTTAATTCTTCATTTGGTGGGTATTTCTCCTCTGTATTCTAAAAATAGTCGTCACTGTTTTTGAACTGCGTCATTTCTAGATCAGTCCATATCATATGACTTGCATAACGCTGGTGATATAGCTAATTCAGAACTTGAAATCAAAATTTAGAAAATTGAAACCTTTCTTTTGATGAGCTTCCATATTGGAATAACTACATACTTTTGTAATCTGTTCTTGCTAAGACGCTGTTCTTGAATAGGCGCGATCCGAGTGCCAAGTAAATTGTGGCCGCAAATATCAATTAAAATAAATATTTAATCTGCCTCGATTGCCGAGTTTGCTCTTCGTTACGGATTCAGCATTTTCTACGTTCTGTGCTATCAGTGCTTCTACGTCATTGCATCTAAGTGTGTAGCTTTATTATATACATACACACACAGTATGCGTACAGACGACCTTGTGCGCCATTTATTTTCGCAACTGTTAGTAGTAAACTTTTGCCTCTAATCATAAAACTGTTTCGTATGACTCAAATAAATGACATTGTGGCATTTTTAAATGAAAAAATTAACTTTGTGAAAATTATGAAATCTGTCTTTACAGACCCCGGTTTTTATAACTATACTTAGTAAAAGCGAATACTATATATAAAAGATTAAAAAAAAAGGTCTGAACGATTTCAGATTTTATATTACATCCTAAAGGGCGTTTTTTAAACTTTTTGTGTGTTACCTTTATTTATTAAATATCATGTTCTTTGCACTTAAATCACATAAAATTCAATACAGCAGCAACATCACAAAATATTTAAAAACAGCCGATCTGTAAAATTTCCGATACACAGTCTCCCGCGCTGGAGAAAAACTTCTTTAAAGTTTTACAAAATTTGAAATAGATAATAAAACGAATTCATATTCAAAATTCGGCTTCCGAGTGCCCATGTTCTGTAGGAGGACAACTTTATTCAAAATTTGGTGGCTCTAGGTAGCGTTGTGTTTTCAGAGTGAGAGAAACATTTATGCATTCATGCAGCTTCTTCATTATTTATTTTCTTTAAATATAATACATAGCGATAATATTTGGTGGAAACAATATGAAAAATGAATCAACGCAGAAAGTGAAACGATACGAAATGCCGTTTTGAGACGTTTGAGACCCTTTGGGTCTATCGCCCCTTTTGGGTTAAGAATGATAACCATAAAGCATTTGGCTCGTGTACGACAAAAATTCACCGAGCTAATTTAATTTCAAAATTTGGCATTTTTGGCACTATTTTCAACTTGGTTTGAGTAGTAGGTTAAAAACAAACTAAAATAATTCTAGGTTATTTGTCCCTTTAAATGTCCTTCAGTGATATTCGTTTGTGTTTTACTATTGTGTAAAATTTTTTAATTTATAATTTTGTTGCATTTGGTTTAGGATAAAAATTTTCGATTAAGTAATTCATAAGTATCACTCTCCAAAAATACGTTATCAATATTCTCAAAAAAAATTTTTAATCTTTTGGATCAGAATCTATTAATAGTACATAAATATTTATTAAACTAGGAACATGTTTTATTTTTAATTCATATAAATAATATTACAGGTTGATTTTTGTGCCAATATTGAACTTTGCCGCTGTTTTCTAAAATACGAATGCTATACGATTCTGTGAATAAAATCTCTCTCTCTCTCTTTTTTTTTTTTTTGAAGAAAAATTGATATCAATCAGTACATTAATTGATAGATTGAATAGCAATTTTCATCATGTAATCTATGGACATCAGAAATCGTTTCCTAAACTGATATTTCATTTTTACCTTACGTACGATTGTAGAGTTATTAGTTTATTTTGGAGTAGGAGACATGAAAAATGAGCAATGTTCTGGCCTTAATTCAAACCTGGACCTCTCGAATACGTGCTAAGTATGCTACCGTTACACCACAAAGGCATGAAGAAAGACTTATATACTCTATATAAGGGAGAAAATACCTTATATGCTCCCGCTTTTAAAGGGCTACTGAAGATTAGAGGACAATCGCCAAATCCTGATGGTGAAGAATCATCATTCACTACTTTTTAGTTCGAACCCCACTGTAGAGTCATTAGGGTTTCTTGATGCTGGAAAAGTGAAAAATGAGGAATGCCCTCGCCAGGACTCGAACCTGGACCTCTCGAATAAGCGCCGAATGTGGTACCGTTACGTCACGAAGGCATGCAGAAAGGAAGGATACCTTCTGCGATTGCAAGCATTTCGATTTTCAGTTTGTGCGTGACTACTAAGCATAATCTCAAAATTTAAAACTAAATAGTTCGATGAGTTTCTGGCGTATGGGGGGGGGTCATGCGATTTGAGATTTATCTTTTAGATGTAGGTTATAAATTAATTTAGTTTTCGGCAGAAAGAAAAGAATTAATTTTTAGGAATTCAAACTCAATTTCATGAAGAACCACGTCTTACTTTAATTCTTATTTTAAAACGGAAAGGAGAAGAATCAATCGGCAAACAGAACATTTGAAAAGAGAAAAAAGGGTATTCTCAAACAATGTACTATTTAAAGATGCGTTTTCTACCCATAAAAGTTTCATAAAACCTTAAACGAATGGAGAAAATTTAGAGGACATTGCAAATCAATTTATTTGTCGCTTTTGCACAGAACTGAATGACAGATTCGTCTGTAGTAATGTACATTAATACATTATTTACGTGCTGAAATTTTCCTACATAAAAGCAGTTAGCTTAAAATCACGAAAATGTTCATATATGTGATCAGTATTTATCTTCTTCAGATGATTTCATATAGTTACTGTGCTAAAAGACATAAAGATTTTGTCCATCGTGACCTAATATTTGAAGAGGAAATTAAAATGAGGAAAACTCATGTTTATTATCGGAGAAAAATAAAAAATTTCCTGGACAAAGATTTATGTCGTAGGAGTTCGGTCTCAGACTGCCAATTTGGAAGTCATTTTCTCTGCTCAGTGTTTCTCTGCTCGGCTTATTGTTCTTGATTACTGCTATCTCCTACCGCAACAAACAAAATGTTGAGATAAAAAATTTGCTTGGGATGTCATTCGTGATTTGATCAAGCATACCAAATTCACTCATTTTATAGGAAGTAAGATCTCTGAAAAACCATAAAATAAAAATAGAAAAAAACCCGTCCCACTATTACTAATTCCTTGATAAAAGAAGACTATTTTTTATTCCTCCATCTCTCCGGATGAAATAATTTGGTTTGGTTTATTTAATTACGGGAAAGCACACTAGAGCTATCTGCCTAAGGGAAGGGATGCCTTCGTGGAGGACTTTCTAAGGGAAACTGGCTCGTATACACGTTACACATAAGGAAAACCACGAAAACGCCCATGCACCCAGACCGTTCGCGGGATTCGAACCTCGGACCGAACTACCAGTGTTCAGCAACTGGCCGCTGGTGGGCCTCCGGATGAAATAAACTAAAAGCTGCATTAATAAAGTAACTAGACATAAGGGCACTTACTACGTTGTCATTATTTCTTGCTATGTTCAGCAAGACTGAGTAATCTAGACAAACATTTAATTTACGATCGTTACTTCGCTTCATCTACAAGATCCAACCCAGTGTTTCAAATGTCAAAGATTTCACCATGCTCAAAACTCTCAAACACCTTCCACTCCACTGCGTCATGTGGTCTGGGATTATGAGTTCAGACATTAGCCTAAAAGTAAAAATTCTGAACCTATGTATACTAACTGCAGCAAAAGTCATACAACATATTGAAAAAAGTGTAAAACATACTTCGAAAACAAAATATCTCTAAACATTCGAGGACCAGTACATGTTAATAAATTCTATGCATATGTAATCTGTAACAAAAGAGCCAAGGAAGACTTAGAATAGTTGAAGGAGACCGAGATATATATTTGAAACTCTCTCGAATGTAATCAGTTTCTTCAGTTAAACATTAGTCCTTGACTCCTTTAATTAGCTCATGAAGACAGTTCTGCCAAACGCAAAAGAAGTGAATGCAACTAATAATGGATAATAGATCACTAGTAGAAAGGGAATAATTGTGCACCTACGTCTTCAGAAATTACCTTTTAAACTAATAATTCATGATTTTTCCACTCTTTTAACGCAGCGAGGTAATGGCCTGTTTTTTTTTTCCATATATTTTTTGCCTCTTCCTTTTTTAAGGACTAAGCAATGTCATATGATGCCTCCTACAGCGTCATTTGAAGAAATATTAGAAACGCCAACTGCGGAGTTCGTATGTATATCTGTTTAGTTATAATAATAATTTTTGCAGGATAAATAGCTGTTGAAGAGTCACGATTCATGAGTCACAATTAATTTCTGAATTTAAAGTCATGACCGTTGGTAATTCAACACATTCACTGCCAGTGTATATATGCGAAGATTAACCAGATGCTCACTGGCGTAGAAATATCGCGAAAACATATACCTCACTATGCTCTGGTATAGAGGATTTGCTATTAGATGATGGAACCACACACCACGTGTGTGATCGGTAACGAATGTATTAATAATACCATTAAGACACCAAAACCTAAACCCATCTTTTCTGACTTGCAATAGTTGGATATGGAAAAGCGGCCTTAAAATTGTCAATAGAAAAAATTGAGGAAACCCTAGGTTGTGATGGAGAAATTTCGAAATCGATATCAATGATAACGACGAAGAAAAGGTGCGTTAGCGTTAGACAGTTCCATACCAAATATTCAAAAACAGAAGATCGTAGTTAGCTTCACAGAATCGAATTGCAGCTGTCCGACATATAAGACTGTTCGGCTGTGAGCCATCCTCACCTGGTACCATGTAGGAGATTGCCATTTTATTTTTATCAACTGCGAAAACTACTATATTTAATGCTTACTCGCGCTTGACTCATTCTGTTTTGACTTCTATTATCTCAGAGAATGCAGTTATGCCGAATAAGACTAGCAGAATAACACAGTATCGTTTTCGAAGTAAAAGCGAAGTTTCTATATAAGGATCAATAATAAATAATTATTAATTAGAGTATTAAAATAGGTTGGCGAAGGTGCTAATCCACCTGGAGCTCTGTAAAGGATTGGTATAATAAAGGTATAGGTATACCTTGGCATTATAAAGTACGAAGCTATTAACTGCGAAGATCTTTGATCGTATTTATATAGCTTGACTACATTAGAAGTATGCTCTAATCGTATTACTGTTTATATTGTTATACTGTTTGGTGGCAATTTATTAGCTCAGTTTTTAAAATGTATATTTCTTAGCCGTATTCTTATTCACTGCTGTTTAATTACGTATCTTCCATGCTCACAAAAGGATTATTTAATAGATAATCGTGTTTGAGTACAATAAAGGATTAAAGCTGAAAAAATTCTGTAATTTAATATCATGAATTGAATTCGATATAAAAGTACCGATTGCATTTATTATAGGAATTTTAGTATATATTATTGAGTAGGTATATCAAAGAAACAAACAAAAAATTATATTGATTTGCTTTGCTAATGATCGTATTTATGCTGTTTTCTGTTTACTAAGAAAGTTAAAACGTTAGATATAAATAGATGCAGAAATGGAATGATATATTTTGAGCTGTTCTACTTTATTTTTCGTTTCTTTTTCCTATAAAAACATCGCTAGTTATTCTAATTATATTCATTATATTTCAGTGACAGAAAATAGCAAACTATCTTATCTAATTTTAAATAAATCTATTTAAAAAATACAGGAAGCTGAAGCTAGAGCCACTCAAAGCAAAGAACTTGAAGAATATGTGCATGAGGTCTCTGCTGCTTATTTAAATACTCTCACAAAAGAGTGGAAGTTAAAAAGAGTACGTATAAAAATAATTTTTCTCCTGTTGAAGTAGGCAGATTGCAGCTGCAATATTAATTTTGTTGCAATATGAATTTTGTTCAATTCATATTGCAACAAATATTTGCTGAAGTTTCGCTTAATAATATTAAATTTCTTTACGTTGTTTAAACTTTCTCGTAATATGTGCTCTCCAAAATATGAATCGTTTAAATAGGAGAATCAAGAAAAAGAGAATACTAAGAAAACATTTGAATAGAATTGATTAAAACAAGATAATGAATTCCAAAAAGAAGAAAGTGAAAAAAAAAACCCACTAGATTTGGCTTGATACTAACATCATTTGAGGAACTAGGTATAGTAATAAGATTTACCTAATTATTGCAGCCAGAGTTTCAGTCATTTCTAAAATAGTTTTCTGTGTTGCTATATCCAAATAAATTTCGATGCATTTTTTTGTAATCGTAATCTTTCCAAAGTCATACTTGGAATTCTTAGGGTAATACGATAAGCGTTTCAGCTTTTAAAACTATAAATGGCATTTTGCAATATGATGACAAACAGCTGCATTAAAAGAAGTAATTTTTCTACTTTTGCGCATGTAATTTTTGTGCTTGTTTTATTTGTGAATTAATCACACTTTTAATATTCAAATTAGTTTCTAGTTTGATTTTTTTCACCAGTTGAAAAACGACTGACAATGAAATTTACTACAACAAACTGATCTTTAAGACTTACTTTAAGCAGTGAGTTACAGTTACAACCAAAAATACGAGTGTACTAATGATCTAAAGTACGAGTGCTTAAATTTAAATTACTGATATTTGTAAATAGCAACTTTATAATTTTATTTGCGCTGCCACTTAACTACAAGCTTCTATAAATTCTGTTTATTTTACTTTCGGAAACTCAAGGATATAAAATAAGCTTCTGTTTTTTGTTTAGAAATTTATCACTTATTGTATTCTTGGTTCAAATAACATATCATCAAAGGCAGATATTAGTCGATGAAGGTTGTAGGTTTTAGAGCTTAGGTTATTCACATATAGAAAAACACCAAAGGCTAGCTAGGAGTCTATGGAAGATTTAGTGGTATGCACGTTAACATAAGGGGGAGAAACAAAAATCAACTGTGAAGCTGCCATAACCACTCTGACACTGGCGGTGTTGAAATCCTTAGAAGATAAGAAAAAACATATTTATTGAAACTCTTGTTTTAAAAAGAATGCGAATAAAAGACACAAAAAGTTTGAATATAAACAGCATGTGTATAGTCGACTTCTTTGTTTTATTGATGTCTCTAATACTCTTTTGTGTGCTAGAAATGAGTAACGTTTTGCACATTCATTTTCTGAATCAGCTTAAATAGAGTACAATAGCTTAAACATTGCTGGTATGAGGTGCGCAAACGGTTACATTTTTACCAAGGTCTTACTCTTTAATATTAAAAAAATATTGAGCTTTTGACAATGTACGGTACAAAGGACTCATCATCAACTTAACACAGCGCAGTTTTATTCAAACGCATCTTATGCATTATTAGCTACAGTAATGACAGTTCTTTTTAAAATTTAATACACTATAAATCATGTCAGTTGGATATATTGCCAATTCAGACATTATATTAAAAAGTAAAAGAACTCATAATTTTTTTTTTTAAAATTACGTGCATTATTTTTAAATACCTCACAGTATAGTTTTAAATAAAATTTAAGACTCAGAAAACGTTGAATACCAATGCCTTTGAGATTTTGAGATTTACCACGCTGCATGAAGGATAAATGAAATTTATCACTGTTTGAGTTATAGTCATTAGGTGTTTTTGAAGCAGGAGACGTGAAAAGTGTGCACTGCCCTCGTCGGGACTGGAACTCTGGACCTCTGCAATACGCGTCGAGTATGCTTCCAATTACATCGAGAAGGCATGCTGAAAGCAGGGAGAAAATACCTTTTATACCCCCTCTTAAGAGCGACGTGGGATTAGAGAACCCAGTTGCCAAATCTCGGTAGTGACGAATTATCGTCTACCACCTTTTAGTTCGGACGCCACTTGTAGAGTCTTTGTTGAAGACGCTTTGTTGAAGGAGGAGACGTGAAAAATGTGCACTGACCTCCCCGGGACTCGAACCCTCGACCTCTCGAATACGCGTCGAGTATGCTTTCCAATTACTCCCCGGAGGCATGTGGAAAGGAGGCAGAAAATAACTTATAGAGAAAAGGTAATATATGCCCTAACAATATATCGTAACGTTGCGCAGTGGAACAAATAAAAATGGAAAGTCTAAAATGGAGACATTTGCAATGTCAAAATACATTTCCTTAAACATGCAAATACAAAATAGTATTTTAAAATACAAAGCCGTTTTACAACTGTATTATTCGGCTTAATCCTGACAGGTGTTTTTTTGCCAATGAATATACTACTCAGATAGTAAAACTCTCGTAGTGTATGTAGTAACACTGGAAGGCCATTGGTTCGAAACTCGGTTCTGACAAACTATTTGAATTTTCGTATTTACTACTCCGTCGAGTCTAATGTCTCTACAGTGGTTAACGAAAAATAATAATTCGTCACAGCTTAGACTTTTCAGTTTGTCCCCATCCTTTATTCAATCACTGAGTGGGGCTGGGGGCACTCTAAATGTAATTGGTAATACATCAAGCTGGCAATAGACGATTTGCGGCTCGAATACCGGCTAAGGGAAAGCTAATTTTTCGAGTTTCATTGCTCTAACAATTCGTATGTCTTTACAAGGAGCTGATTTTCAAATATAATTTTCCACTGATTTTTCCCCTCCATATTGAAGAGTTAATGTATGCCCCATACTATATTTTTGGACTGTTGAGAAAAAGTTAATTAATTAATATTAGTGTTGCAAATGTTACGGAAAATAATCAAATTCTGATTATCATAATAAGAATAACGTTCTGAAGGTCTCTGAAATATACTACATTCGCATAAGTTCATAATTTAGACAATGTAAGCAAACTGAGAATGAGAACTTGTGGCATCCATAACTTGATGTTTGAACTGATTGCATTTGCATCCACAGAAATATAATATTATTTCATATTTCATTTCATTGTATGAGCATTACACCGATATAAAAGAGGAATAAATATTGTAAATGCAAAACACATGTGCGGTATTTAGCCTAAAAATCAACACTGGCTATACAGTTCTTCGAATTGCCGTCCAGACGGCACAGTGGTTAGGGGAGCCGAGCCCACTGCTATTCCAAAGGGCCTGGGTTCGAATTCCGGAGAAGGCATGATTGTCAACGATCGTCCTTTCATAGGAGGCAAAGATAGCCCACCTATTAGGTGCCTCCATAACAAAGTAACCACTACTTCTGGCCTTAGTAATGGCCAAGCCGAAGTCGGCAGAGGGCCAGCCATTGGTAAAATAAAAATTCTTCGACTTTAGAAGAGGACTGATTTTGCAGTTATTGATGGCATTTCTCCCGAGTGGATGCATTGCCTACATACATGCGAAATTTCGCGCCCATTCGTGGACTGATGTTTGCATTATTAAGAAGCACAAACACCATTTCACTTTCATAGCATTAGTGCGAGTATTAACCAAAATCGGTCATTTCAAACATGTTGCTAGTGCAGATTATCAGCTATGTTTGAATCGCGTTGTGTAATAGGTTAGACTGTTTCACCCAAGGTCAAGTTGTTATTCTCTCATTTTCTGTCTCCGGTGCATTTTCCTGCTTCGACGTTTATTGTTTAACTCATTGCAACAGATCAATCACGAGAGAATATGTTAGACATAATTATATCACATTTTAATCAATATTTTGAACCGAATAATGGAATTGAACTATGAAAAAAGAAAAATAAATAAAGTATATCAATCAATCAAATATATTCATTTGAAAAATCCAGTCAAAAGATGTTGTCTTATGTGACAATAAGGAAAGGTGGAAGATTTCCTCATGACCTACATAAACAAGCAAGATGAAATATTACTTTTCTTTACATTCGCTGTCGTAAAGCAAAGTTGGTTCAAGTGACCATGAATTCAAATGAGGAGAAATACTTTGTTCGTTTCCTTGTACATATTATATTTACCTGTCAGGTCTCGTCATGCTTTGATGAGCAAGTGACAGTTTGTTGAAATCAAGGTCCAAAACTGATGGTCTGAACAATGAAACCTAATCCCAGTAAAAATTCGGCTGTAAATGGGATTAAAAAGAATTCTGGTTGATAAGTACGAAGACCAAACATTAATAATTTACGAAGAAGAATTTTTAATAATTCAGTTAGTACTGTTTTTAGTATCAATATTCTTCCAGTGACATATAGGTACGTAAAAATTTACGATTAATTTCTTCTTTAAAGGTCTGGTTTGTTACAAATTTTATCGCAGCTTTGTACGTATGCTGCTAATTTCGCTAGAAAGGAGAAATTTCAGGAATGTATAGGCAGCTCTGTGTCATTTCCTTTTATTCTTTATGCTTCCTTATATTATTTTTCTTATATAGCATAAGGAACGCTACAAAGCAATAGTTCTCAAAGTGTGAATTGCAACCTAGGAAAAGTTAGGTGTGATTTTTTTTGATGAATTAAAAAAAAGAGTTTTGAGGTTTCTTTTATTTTTGACACATATGGTGTGTCTGCGGGTATATATATATATATGTAATTTCGTATGTGCACACATCTATTTATCTGTCTCTCTCTCTATATATATATATACAGAAGAGGGAAGACAGATGAAAATAGAAAAAATATTTAATTAATAGATGTAATAATAATATCGCGCAAAATGCTTCGAATTTAACTAATGTTTAAGGAATACGATGAAATTTATAGAATATATGTCAATTAAAAGAGGCAATCTACTTAACAAGAAGGCACAAATTAAGAATAAGTACAAAGCAAAAACTTAAAAAAACTAACTCGAAACAGAAGTAAATTAATAAAAAATATTAACTAAAAGTTGACAATTCCTTGATCTTTGTCAAGAAACAGACGGAAGAATTATCAACAGAGCCATCTAAATTATGTCAGGATGAACTAAGAAAGAAAACATTCAGATGAAAAATTTCTCTATTACATCTAAACCAAAAGCAGTTAAATGAAAATATATTTTTACAAACATTAAAAAAAAAAAAAAAAAAAAAAATCTAATAAAATGTTAAATAAAATTTAATAAAATTTAAAGGAAAATTTTAACAAATTTAGAAACAGCACTCTTAAGATATAACCTACCTCAAATCGCGGTTTGAAAGAAAATAACTGCACAAAAATTATTATTTAAACAATCTGAATACAAAATAAACAAAAACGTTTCTTGGTGAAAATTTATGAATCTAAATTTTTAAATAAAGTGATGGAAATTTAAGAATTTTAATGACAAAATTAAAAAAAAAATTAAATAATGTTAGCTGGAATACCAAAGAGGGAGAATCGCAAAAGTTGCTAAGCGAAAGAGAGTTGGAAAAACCAAAAATACAAAAAAGGCAAAATTGCCTAGAGATTGCAAATGTGAAGAATGCAAAAGCTGTACCAAACAAAAAGCAATAAAGTTTTCGTAGAAAAGATAGAATTACGAGTAAAGAAAAAATGTGATGATGCAAAGCAGCAAGCGAATAATAAAAGCATTCTATGATTCCAAAAATTAAGTTTAAAATTTAATGTTTGGAAACGTAGGTTGCTTTTTAACATTATGAAGTCGCAGTTAGCGAGTATTGAACCATCTGAAAATGCATGTGATGCAGAGATGAGAGAAGTTGATGTGCAGCTTAAGCAGCGTGCTCCAGTATTGCAAGAAAATTCCCCCACTCCACAAACTGAGTGTGTGTCTCCTAATACAGATTATGCAGATACGGAATTGATTCTAAACCAGGATACTTGCGTTTGTAAAGTATTGGGCTCCGTTTATGATTCCAATGCAGAAATTGGAAAACGGAAACGGAGGAAAATGAACATGGACCAGCTGCTGAAAATAAAGAGGAGAACTGTGCACATGATGCGAACAAACTACAGAGTGGTGAACAAACTTTTTCAGATCTTCCTGTAGATGAAAATCTGGAAAGACTGAATCTTCAGAGTGTGATATGCAACACATAAATATATCTGAGAACTGCAGTGGAAGAGTATTTAACGCGGGTATAACTTAATGAAAACACTGACTGAAATTCATTCTGAACTTTAATTTGTATAATTTAAAATTATTACGTGTTTAATTTGTGTATATAACTTGTATATCGTGTAAATATTTGGTTTTTTAGTTATGTTACTTGTTTGTTTTATTATCTTTTGTTTGTATCGAATTTGGCTTCTGACCAAGGGCTGTACTGCCCGGGACGTGCAGTCCTTGGGAGGGGGCAGTGTTACGAAATGTAAAATAGCTTCCCCGCAAAAAGGTTGCCATAAAATGGCAAAAGAAAGCACGGTTACCACATTTGGCGCCAGAATTGGCGATCTGCCATGGGCGGATGAAGAACCTTCTGGAACGAATTCTTACCAGTTTAGCTCAGAATGTTCTCGAACACAAGCCAAAAACTATATAAACCCTGCTAATACGCGGAGAGTCAGTGCGAGATAGTTAGTCTCGAGTTAGTCAGTCCTTGCGGAGTCGATCGTGTTGACAGCCGGGCAACGGGTCGTCCAGTGCATCGAAAGAGTCTCTTAGTGTATCGCGGTTAGTGCATCGTCGAGAGAGTGTGTTGCGCTCCGGCGTAATGGCAGACCGCACATTGAGTTGAACAGTGTTAAACGAATGTCGCATACTGGGCATGCCCAGAAACAAATTTGGCGTAATTATTATGTTGGCGCGATTTGAAAAGAAGATAAATACGGTATGTGGTAGATGTACCGCCATCTGATTGTGAACACATCCGGCGTTTAAGTCTTCGTAGAGTATACGTGCAATGTAAAGTAATTACTGTGTAAAATTAGATTTCTTTCCTGTATTGCTCCAACAACTGGAAAGTTGAAATTATTGCGAAGTAATGTGAAGCAGTGTTTACATTCAAAATGTAAAATATAATACTTATGAAATTCTGCACATTCCTTTGGAACTGTACAAATTTTCTTTCAGAAAAAGACTGAAATTTAGGATATATTAGTTGAATATTTATTCATTATACTTTTAAGCAATAAAAACAATTCAGGATTTACCATACGTTACATTCGTACATACATAAAGAAACAATGAGGAATATAACAAGTGCTTGCAAATAACACTAAAGAAATTTTACAATTCTTTAATGCTAGTTATTAAATTCTTTGAAATGAGAAAATAAAAGCGCGAATATACGCTAACAAACTAAGCGAGATACTCCAGTTTACAATTACTGAATTGTAACATGTAAACGAATTACATTTAAATAACGAATTATTACGAACATATGTTAACAAATATTAAATGCACTGTTATTGACAAATTAAAATGAAACATATATTAGAAAAATAAGCAAGTGCAATCGGCATGGACATTAAAATAACTAATAAGCAAAGTTCCACAACATTGCAATTTTAAACATCACTCGACAGCCATGGAGATCACGAATAAGCTAACGTAGGGTTGCTTAGTCGCCAATATTTCTCCCCGCGCCGAAGGTACACCATCAAGCATGCGCAGTAAGCGAAATTCGCTTAACACTGTTCAACTCAATGTGCAGTCTGCCATTACGCCTCCGAGAACGACCGAACCGAAGAGTCGGGAGCTGTGTTTTGTGTGTCGTCGAGTGCATCACGAGTTGTAGCGTGGAGAGTCGAGAGTACGTGGAGTTCCGAGAACGACCGAAGTCGGGAGCTGTACTCTGGTGCTTTGCAGTGAAGCTGCCTCCACCGTTATAGCCTGATAACCTGAAGCCTGTGTCGCTGATTGTTCCAGCGAGTGTATAGTAGATCTTCGACCACTGTAAAACGTGACTTTGGAACTGTCCTGATTAATATTGGCTAAATAATGTGTGTTTCGATACTTCATAAAATGTTGTCGTTATTCACTCCACATCCGCACGAACCCCGTAACGTACGAACATAAAGAAAACGAAAATAACGTAACAATACTAAACTAGTGGTTGATTCGACTCAATCTTTGGATGATATGCGATCAGTAAACTAAGGAACTACAAGAATTCCTGGTTTTAACAAACAAAATCGATTAACAGTTGAAGCAAGATTTATATTTTATATTAATGAATAATTTAATCATTTAGGGATTATTTTTCGGAAAGCAGAGATAATTAAAATATAAAATTCTGGATAATAACCACGTTTTTTTTCTTCCAGTGGAATGATTATTTACATCGTACTAGAGAACTTGACGCACTTCGTCTACCGATCATTAACGCATTTTTATCAGAATGGAGTGATGATAAAATGTATGATACTAAGGACGTGTTTTCAAAGGTGCATCAGTGCCTCAAGGTAAGAACAAGAAACTGGCTTTGAAGCTTTGCAGGAAAATTGCTTGAGAAATTGAAGAATGTTGTATGCATGTTCTTTTTGCTCGTCGTTTAGAGTGTAGCAAAATTTTCCAAGGTTTTATCATACTTTCAAATTTTTGAAAAAGCCCTCATTACCAGTAATTTGTTAGATTTGTTGTCAATAAATTTTATTTGAATTAAGAGAAATTTCCAGACATCACTATGTCATATAATTCAAATGCCAAGTCCGTCTTATGTTTCCATTATTTCTTTGCTCTCATTGTTGAAACTACAGGCAGATTCTTAAGTCATGAAATAAAATGTTAGTCAGAAAAGTTTCTTTAAAGGTATTAAACATAATAAAGTTTTTAAAGTTATGTCGAAAGCAGTAAAGAACGCGACCATTTATGCTTCTCTTACTAGTTATTATAAAGCATAAATATTTTGACAGAAGATAATAATATCGGTCTCTAATTAATAAAGAATATTACGTCCACTACTAATAAATTTAAAAATAAAAAAAAATCATACTATGTATAAAATAAAGACGATATTTGTAAAAGGGTATAACTTTCAGAACTGGAATAACACTCGCTCTTAATGCAATTTGTAATGTAATAGGCCAAAAAGCTTTTTGAAAGAACTCTTGCATTTAAGTGGGAGGATCACAGATTACATTATTTTTGTTGAAATTAATCTTGGTTGTCGAGAAATAAATCAAGGAATAATTTGTAAATAGCTATGTAATGCTAATAATTATTATTGTATATGATTGTACATTATTAAGTGAAACATTTTAAAAATTCATAACAACTAAGCCATGAAATCAGTTTAAATATTTATTACACTAAAATAGAGGTAAATTCGTGAATTCTTTTCTACATATTCCAAAAACGTTCATCATGCTGTCCTCTACTGCAGACATACTTCATGAGTCACTAGAAGCAGTTACGTGAACTTATTGGAAAGAAAGTCAGGAAAATTACTTCTTTTCTGTTTAGTTCAGAGATCAATATTGAGGTCATCTTAAAGATTATACCGCTATAATTTAGCTGCAAAGATCATTTGCTGGAGTATTTCAATTTTTACCACAAAACTCGAGTGGACACACGGGAAAAGATGAAGACATGTTAATGATCGGTCATCTAAATCTCTTGATTTATTTAATTTCGTGATTTTTTGTAAAAATTTGTCAAAAATACTGACCCTCATCTATCATGGTATTCTAGCACAAAATGAATTATCGTATAGTTATAGATATTTGTGTTATCAGGAAATGAAGATATAGTGAGCACTGGAGACGGGACTTTGGGAATTTGCCTTTTTTTCAATGTAATATAGTAATTTGGCATCAGTTGTATAGTTTATTTTCAACTAGTTCATCATTATTACTTGAAAAGGCATGAAACCGGGTCTGCGTTGCAACGCTACTTAAAGCAACGAAACTGTTTGTGTTTTGATTCTCTCTATTGAAGTGCTTTTGGACACAATACTTTTTGTTTTCCCATCTGGTTCGTACACGAATAAATCGCAAGGTTTTCCGATGCGTAAGCAGGCCGCATATAGCTGCCGAAATGTGAAAAGCATGGATTTTCCAAATTTAATCCATA